ATTTAAAGCTAAAAGTACTCGGCAAGATTATATATTTTTATAAACCTTTCCAAATATAAATATACGAATAAAATTAATATATTATATTTTAATTTCCTATTATGTTTTTTCTTACCATTTCCAACAAATTTGCAAAATTGAGATTGCACAAACATATTCTTGCATATTGTGAACGATAATAAAGAGTACACAAACCTGTTAACACCGTACACCATTTTTAACATTTAAGTTAATTATTTTTTTATTATACGTACTTATATTTAACTTTTCATCTTGACGTACAGATGTGACAGACGCAAGCACTTGTCAGCACTTCATGGTCAGGGTTTGCTGCCCATATTGGAATAAAAGACAAATGCAATACACATAATAAACAATCATGAACATATTTCAAAAACCGGTTTGTTCAATACTCCTCTGAGCAGTAGTTGTATTCAGTTGTCTCATCAGCAGCGGTTAAAAAGTAAACAAAGCAATCTTTAGCCTGCAATGAAAATATTTTAGTTTGTCGTTTTAAGGAGACTGAGAACCCATTCACACCATGCGCCGACTGACTGTTAAGTGTTTAAAAATGTTTTTCTCGCTTTTTGCTAAAGACTGTCATAAAGTCCAGCATTCAGCAAAGTTCATCAATCAAATGTTGACCTAGGCTTTTTAAAAAATATACATAAATATAAGTATTTGTTATGCAAATTACATATGTATTTATATATACTACAGCGAAGCTGGTACATTCAGAGAAACGATTTGTTTATTTCACATTTAATGTGTTTAATATTACATAAAGGTATATTTTTCATTGCTACATTTAACTAAAGCACTTGAACTTTTCCAAAGATAAAAAAATTAAATGTTTCTATTAGTGTGAAAATCATAAGTTGTTAATAATCATCGTAATGGAATGCAGAGATGCGATAAATCTCGAATATTTAAAATAATAATTTGGAAATGTCTTTTATTCATATCCACTAATCATTCCTTTGCTTGGATGAGGCAGTGATAAGTATTTGTTAAATAAATAATTTGAATGAAATATGTTAAAAAATCAAATTGATTGAAATATTTGTATATTTGGTGACCCATCGAAAATTAAATTTCCAATTGTTTAAAAATAAACACTGGAAAATAGAAACACTGGAAACAGAATTTAAATGAAAGATTTGATTTCATCACAGATAACATCAAAATTAATTCGAAATTTTAATAACAGGTTGTATTTACTTTTACTTTTGTTTATGTGCAGCGACTGCTGACAATATTTTTATACTTTTGCAGATGCAAATGAAGGCTCTGTTTAAAACCAGCTCAGATCTCGGATCCAGTCGCAATTAATATGACAATTAAATCGTACTTAAATGTATACTTATGTATAAACATACAGTAACACATGTCGATATAAAAGCGAACTGGAACTAGCTGGTGTTGTGAGAGAGTACGCGAAACTGAACAACAATTTGTATTTGCGATCGGCCGAGCCTGAGCTGCGTGTCGGGCTTGGACTTCGCCTGACTAATTGCAAGTTGGCGTTAGCAGACGTGTTTTGATCGCGGACGCGGCTTGTCAATATATCTGAGTTTAACATCCGACACAATAGCCAGTATTGGATTAGGGGCGCAAGGCACTTTCGGTAGCAATGCGTGTCTCGTAATTTTTCAATACGGTTTTTTCAATGGTTTCGCAGGCGACCCGTTACGCATACTAATTTGTCGACGCAGTAGCTCTGTTTTGTTTACTTGCACATTGTAATTACTGCCAAACCTGAAGTAAAGCCACATATACGTTTTTTGAATGCATCGGGCCTAGACCAAAACTATACACGGGTCTAGCTCACTCTCAGTTCAGTTAACAATCTGCTGTTGCCGTTATCGTGCGCGCTGCGTTCGTCACATCGATACGATTCAAATTTGGATTTAGAGCTGATTAGGGCATTTAAATAAAACAACCAAATACACACACCAAATATATTTTCAAACGTTATCAAAAGGTAACTGTAACTGAACTTGAAATCAGCCAACTAGATAATCGTAAGTGTTTCGGATTAGGCACCTATGCGTATTACTCGTATCTATTTTGAGTGTAAGCCTTAAGTTTAACTAACCATTCGAAATACTGAGATGAAAGTGAAATGATTTACTACAAGTTAGCTATTGTTTTTTCTGGTTTTTTAATTAATGACGCTATAAACGTGACCTGACCGTAAGCAGTCGGCCTTCAATGTCGAGTGAAATTGAAATGAAAAGTGCATGCCAAGCATGTAAGCCGACAATTGTGTTAATTATCATTCAATATGTTAATTGTACATTATGCAATGCAAAAAGTGAATATGTGAACTTGAAAATAAATATAGGTAGCTCAAAGCTGCCGGTTGTATTTATTATGTAGGGAAAAAAGACATCTTTTTTGTAACCAAAAGATTTTCAAAGCCTGTTTCACATTTACAGTTGGTAAGATAGATATTGAATTGAATAGGTATATATACACATATGGCTAAAAAATGTATTCATGGCGTTTTTATCAAATGTGCTCACATTTTATTTATTTTTACTCTAATATGTATAATATTGTTAGAAACAAGAAATGTGTCCACTTTTGCTAATAGGTTTTAATTCTTATAATTGCTGGCCGATGTCTGGGAAATAAAATACACGTGCACATCTGTTAATTTAGTTACGAAACTTCGAACCTGTAGCGAAATAGTGTCTTAGGCTCCTTCAAAAGAAGCACTTAAAAGTGGAACTAGTGGTAATTTGATAACATTTGATTTAAGACATAAAAGCCTGTCGAAGAAACAAATTTTGGTTTATTACTATAAATTTGTATAATTTAGAAAAATTAAATAAGTCTATTGATATATTTCTATATATACAAATAATATGGAGATATATTAAAGATATAATTGGCTTTGCCCATTTCCCAGAAATACTTCAGCTTTTATTAGACAATTTTTGAATTGAAAAACATAATATCACCAATTAAGGTATACAAATATTTTCGAAGCTATCGGGGCTTACAGTAAAAAGTGTGAAATACATAAAAAGAAGTTTAATGAAGATAAACAAAGTACGTATGTATATATATGCTTGATCAGCATGAAAAGGCGTGGCGATCTAGCCCCGTCTGTCTGCTCGTGTGTCAGTGTGTCCGATATTTCAAAGTCCATTTGTTTTAATTCGAGCGATAAATAAACATCTATCAAATATTAACTGAGCTGGACAGAACCTACATACATATATAATATAACTGCGCTCATACATGTGTGCGCCGAAAAGGAACTTTGGTGCAGTCTGAACGCCATAGCTTCAAATCTTTGGGACAAATATCGATTATAACAGGCACAGGCGGGCTTAACGATTTAAATTCGTTATACCCTAAACTATCCCTCTTTGCGAGCTTAACAAACTCATACAACAAAAACAATATACATGTACACTTTTCTGTGAAACAGATAATATAAGAAAATCGACATCCTATTGTGATGAATTGCTAAATTAATTTTTATAACATCACTTTTTTCGCCAATTGATTTTATGTTTTTTGCTTTGAACTGGTTTATTAAAGATATAATTTAAATAATCAAGCGAAACAGAAAAGGTACCTTGCAACCATGGAAATGGTTTTTATTTAATTTTGTTTCAGAAATAAAAAAAGCATTAAAAATAATAAAGTTGTTTAAAGCTTGAATGCTGATGGATTAATGTGTTTCTAACATATAACATTTTTTATAATTAATGAGTAAAATGAATTGTAGCATTTCTATATCCTTGTAAGAATATTTATAAATATATTTGTAGAAATAGGTATAATAGATTCAGTTGATATCGTCAAGCTCCCATTCATAAATTGATTAAGTTATATTTTAACAATCTGCCGTAAAAGACACATACTTTTTTATACAAGTGTACTACGTACACATGCCTATATTAATTATTACAGATTGAGCCAATCTTATAGTAATTGATGTCAACATGAGTGCCCCAAATGGTTTGAATACTAACAACAACAAACCAGTGCCTATCATAATTGTCAGTGAAAAAAATGGTAAGCAATATTAAAGAATATGCCCAAAATTAGTTTCAAATTTTTTAATACATTTTAGAAACCAATAAAGACCACCAAGAAACCGTCATTGACATTGGTACGTATCATGCTTGCATGCTGAATTATTGGAAAAAAAAATAAAACATCATCATTACTAGACAACTTTTATTCTTCAATCCCGAATGTCAGTATAAGCTCCAGCACAGCTATACACAGCTATTTGAATGCATGTATTTATGTACATACCTACATACATATGTATGTATGTACTATACATCTGTAGCATTAGTTATGTACATAGCTTAATCGGTTGATACACGTACCGCTTTGCTACGTTCCACGCTACTGAATTATTATCAATGGTTTACATACACATACATACATGTATGTATGTATGGACAATCATATGCAGTATGTACATATTTGCTGATAAATAATTAGGTTGCTGATGGGTATATATATTCGGCTTGCTACAGATTAGTAATTTTAGTACTGACCAATAATTACGTTGATGAACTTGTGAGGTAAAACACACAAAAAATAATATATAACCAAAGTAAAATGTTCAACTGAAAAATTAAGAGAAATTGTATACTTGTTACTAGTGTGTTATGATTTTCCAATCAACTTGGTTCTATATACAACTTAGAATTTATTAGATTTTCGTAATGTTTTACATATGTAAGCTGTGCAATTTCATTGTAGGATCCATGGACAATTCAAAGCATTATAAGCATTTAAATAATAATTTATTGAAATTAAGAAAAATGGGTAAGCTTTTCCGTTTAAAGCAAATATTAACATATCGATATAGCCGATGTTTACGCACAAGCACGCGGTTGTGCTTATCGATAGTTAAATTGCCGCTGTTGTCATCGCTAAAAACATATGTGTTCAGTTAATTTGTTGGGCTTATTGCGCGAGGTTGTTTAAAACGGGTTTGAGATTTTTCGCAGCTGAGGCTCGGGCATATTTAACTACATGCGCCCTGTTTCAATTTCAATATTCTCGTTGCTGTGAACGGTTGTATTACGCGCGTGTTTTTGTGTGCAAATATTGGAGCTAAGCTGGACTTGTGTCTTGCCTTTTACCGCCCGCTCTCCGGGTTGCAGCCCACCGCCATCGTACTAAAAAATAAATACATATGTAGGCATACATACACACTGAACATAATAACAAACAATAACGTTGAAAGTGAATGTGCAAGTCAGCTAAAGTAAACATACATATCTCTTTATTCTTGTGTGTTTTCCTTCTTTTATTTCGCAGAAACCGAACCTCCCACACCAGACACTGAGATAATGGCAAATTTCGATGATGTGAGTGTACTAAATACATAAAACCAATAACTAAATAAATAAAATATAAACAAGTCAAACTGCATACACACTTTTTGTATGCATTTTAAAGCAATTAAGCAAGTGCACAAAAAAATGAAATAAAAAGCGATTATTAAGACACATTCGTGCACGTAACTAACATTAAGCCTTATTTCGTAAGAATTTTATTTGATTTTTGTTTTCGTTTCATTTTATCTTCCTATGTGCGTGATGCATGTAACTACAACTTGATTATTGCGAATGTGAAAACAACAAAATATATATATATCAACATCAATTATCCCACATGTGTACAATGGACTCTGGGCAGACATTGCAACGAGCTCGCCTCGCATACGCCAGTGGCAAGAGCAGGAATGTAAGCTTTCGGTAAGTAGCCTACCTGTTGGAGAAAAACGCTCTATAGTGGTATCCAGTAGTTGGTTAGTGGCTTTAAATTTTAATGCTGGAGAGATTTCGCTGCCTAAAAACGCAATTTGCCCCACCCAACCCCTCGAAACTTTGCGGCAACGCCGACAACTTCAAGTTGTATCTGCCTCTCTTGAGAGTTAGCGTGTTAAGTATATCTTGCACATTTGTTCAAGTTTTCAAGCTCTCTGAATTACTTTCAGCATTTGTTATATATTCGTTGTTCAGTATTCACTCGCTTTACAAACACACACGCTCCACTACATTTTTTGCATGAACTATTTACTTTGAACTTTGATACTTTTTCCAAGCTTTTTCTGATAGGAATTGTGGATAATTGTTTTTATGTGCTTAAATGCTAATGTATTGGAGGTATTTGAGTGTACTGGTGTAGCTGTACAACAGAACAAAGTCTAGATAACAATATCAAGTTCAACGATTGTTAATGCTTTCCAAAATCCAACCACATCGGACCTTTGGCTTTTGTTTTTTTTTTATAAACCGGTTGTACTTTGCATGCAATTATCTTCGAATTCCTAACTGAATTCTGATATTATAAATTCTAAATCGAGACAGTAAAAATATCGAAATAAATATACTTATATTTTTACTAACTACAGTGCCATTTTGAGGTTTCACATATAATAGACACGTACACCCGAAATTAATGCGTATGCACACACACATATACATATAGTATGTATATATATATTAATTTAAAAATAATAGTTTTAGCGCAAAGTGTGAAACGGAAGTACGGAAGAATCTTTGTCCAAGGCTAATGGTCATTTAATTTCATTAACTTTTAAAAAAAAACCTAACCAAATCAACACGTTCTGCGATTGTTTTTGCCTTTACACTACTTCTTCTATTTTTTAAAATAGAAGCGAATAGAAAAAGCTCCCAAAGCTTAGGTTCGGTTAAATTTAAATGTTTTAAAAATATATAAATAATTTCAAAACCATACCTCATTATACGCGCAGCTATGTGTATGTATGTATGTACATTTTCTTAGTATACTTTTATATGTTTGTTTCACAACATGACATGTATAATTGCTTTATTGACAATAATAACACACCTCGTATTTGTTAATTGTTGATACCTTTTTTGTGCATAATTTAACTTTGTGTTCAAACGACTTTAGTAACTCTCGAAAAGAGTACATATAGACTCACTTAATGCGACGCTGTTTACTTTTCACAATGGCGTGTGCTTTGCTGGAGGCTGTAAACTTCAATTTGTATTACTCATGTATTAAAATGTTTAAAACTGTTGTCTGAGTGCCAACTGTTCAATTGCTACCAATATATTTTCACTTTCTATTATCGTGTTTATAATTAATTTATTTATGCAGCAATATAAACAAATAAAGTTTATAATCGAAAACGAGTCATTTGAATTAACAATCATATATTAATAGAACATAACTAGTGACCCCAATCCCGTGATTCTAAACAGCGACATCAAGACTAACCGGTTTGCCCGTTCTAATCTATGTGAAGCATTTGTTTTGTCCAATCTACATTAATATATAGTACTAAGGATCAAGAAAAATATGCAGACTTGTTTCATAGAAAAAATGATGCGTCATGGAGAAGAATTTTTAAAAAAAATTTTTTGTTGTTGCATAAGATGCTGCGTTTATCCAAGACGATATAATTAGCATTGACCTTCCTCACGTCAACCCATGTTACTCAGCAGCTACCGACATGATATTTTTCCATCTTTTTATCGCTTTTAGTTTTTAGTGTTCAGTTTCTAAGTTGGACTTGTCTTGGAGCGCAAGCGCGTGTGAAATATCATTAGCGAAGATTTTGTTTGTTTTGTTTTCAGTTTCGGCTTCGCGCGAATTCGCCGTTAGTTTGATAAATTTGCTTTTTGATAGTTGTCCAATATTTTTGCATAACGGCGGAACTTGTCATTAATTTATGCAATTTATTGCAATATTCTCTATTTATATTAGACGCAAACAATTGGAAAATCTACTTCGTTGCTACGAGGAGAATGAAAATGAAATTATCAGCGCTCTGGATGCCGATTTACGTCGCCCCAAGCAGGAGAGTTTGATTGTGGAGACGGAGTTTATGAAGAATGATATTAAGCACATTCTATACCATTTAAATGACTGGGTCAAGGCTGAAAAGGTGCACTAAAGGAACCAATAGCAAAGATCAATTTTACAAAAGCTTGTATTTTCAGCCAGAAAAATCGTTTGTCAATTTAATGGATGATTTGCAAATCTTCAATGATCCCTTTGGCGTTGTGCTGGTCATCGGTGCCTGGAACTATCCGCTTCAGTTGCTCCTCGTTCCGGTTGCTGCGGCCATTGCGGCGGGCAATTGTGTGGTCATCAAGCCCAGTGAGATAGCGGCCAATTGTGCAAAATTTATTGCAGAAAAAATACCCAAATATTTGGATAATGTGAGTAGAAAGACTATAGTTTTTGCAAACTGTCAAACTAACAGTTGTCTCCATTGATTATCACAGGAATGTTATCCAGTAGTTTGCGGTGGACCAACTGAAACTGCCGAATTGCTAAATCAACGTTTCGATTATATCTTCTACACTGGGTCCACGCGTGTCGGTAAAATCGTTCATGCGGCAGCTAATAAGTATTTAACACCCACTACATTGGAATTAGGCGGGAAGAGGTAATTATATAAACACATCGTAACAGTACTAAATAAGTGAAAGTGCTAAACCTTCTTACGTGTTTTAGTCCCTGTTATATTGACAAATCGGTAGAACTACGCACTGCCGTCAAGCGCATACTCTGGGGCAAGTTAATAAACTGCGGGCAGACTTGCATTGCCCCCGACTACGTACTTTGCTCAAAAGAGATGCAGGATAAATTCGTAACTGAAGCCAAAGACGTTCTGAAGGAGTGGTATGGCGAAAATATACAGAATAGTCCCGATCTGAGCCGCGTTATAAATCAGAACAATTTTCAGTAATTATATATAGCATCAACATTTTTATTTAATTACTGTATCGTACATTTTTATTATCTAGACGTCTTGTTGGTCTAATGAAGTCCGGGCGGATTGTTGTGGGCGGCAAATACGATGCTGCTGAACGCTTCATTGAGCCCACAATTATTGTTGATGTGAAGCCAAGCGACCCCATCATGGAGGAGGAAATATTTGGCCCAATCTTGCCCATATATACTGTTGAAAATGCCTACGATGCCATGAAGTTCATCAATGCCAGGTCTGTTGATCTGTTTGCCAAGAACCTTGTGCATAATTATCTGCACAATTCTGTGTTAATCATTTTTCAACTCTCATATTCGTATTCCATCAATTGTTTGTCTTTTTCATTTATCTCACACACATTAACACAAAATTTTACATTCCAAAATTTTATTCGCCCTTGCAAAAACACACAAAATGAAACAATAGAGAAAGTCCGCTCGTCTTGTATATTTTCACAACGGAGACAGAAGTTCAAAATCTATTCATAAATGGCACGCATTCGGGCGGAATGTGCCTTAATGACACGATAATGCATTATGCCGGTAAGACCAAAAAAAACCTGCAGCCTTTGCTGTGGGCCTATTGACAAGGGTTATTGGATACGCTAAGCGATACATGCTACCTGTCCCGTCTACTAGCCGCCTGCTAAAATTTATGTACCTACGTAGTACTTCCCACTTCTACGGTTGCGGTGATTGCTGCCTGACTTCGACATTTTCTTTATTGTATTTATTCATAGATGTATTTTTCATATTTGTTGTTTTTTTATTCTTGGTGACGGCTATTTGTTATTGAAAATATGAATGCATGAATAATGCATTTTCCAGCTATTTGAGTACAAATTAGCGTAATTGATTCCTTCCGGCCTCCTCTACAAAACCACCCCATCCATCCTCAGCCATATACTATATAAACTTGAAGATCAGTTTCAGTTAGCTCTACACTAATGCATTTCCATAGTTGCACGCACTTTTTGCATTATTTGCATGACTACGTTTACCCAAATTATTCAACAACATATTATTTTCATCGAGTTGTACCAACTCTTTGCTCCAATAATGCAGCTTAGCTGAGATTTTGTATATAATATGTTACCTTTCCCAAAAACTAGAGAAAAACCACTTGTTATCTACGTCTTTTCGAACTCGAGCAAGGTTGTTAAAGAATTCAAACAGAATACCACAAGCGGCGGATTTAGCAGCAACGAGACTATAATGCACTGTGGAGGTATATAAGTATGCCGTTATGTATAAGTGTTAGCGAATTAGTTAATATGTAGCTTTTATCTTTGCACGCGATTCTTCATTCAAAACACAATTACACTTTTTTTAAAAAGGATGCACTTGATAGTTTAAAGAGCCTAAAGATGGGTGTATTCTTTTGGTTAGCTCAATTGATATAAAGATATGAAAATATCAATTCCAAAGAATTTACGTATTTGCAATGAATTCGTAATTCCTGCGTTCAAAAATGTTATGCACTGACCTGGTATGTACATTTTAAAATAGTATTGGACCCAGAATAATGTACAAACAACAATTTGCGCTTAACCAAAGTAAATGCATAAAATTTAACATACTTGTGGTGGGATTTATTCTGCTAACTTCCTTTTTGTTAAGTAGTTAATAAAATAAACTAATTTAACTTAAATACATGTTGGAGTTGAAACTTTTAGTTCACTAATAATAGATACTTAAGATATGTGTATGTATACATTTTATACTTGTAAGTTATTGAACTAGTGTGTTCAATTCTAGAGCGAAAACGCTTTACAGACAGCTGAAACTTAGAGATAAATAAGTATTTAACATTAAATGGAGAAAGGTTAAGCAATTAAATTTGGTTTTGGTCTAAAATCTCCAATTATTGCATAGAACAAGCTTGCTAATTTTTGCCTCAGCTTAATTATTGTATAATGTTTTTGAAAAAACTTGCCTTTTGATTAATTGATTTTTCGCATGTTTTCCCAAATAGTTGACACATTGCCTTTTGGAGGTGTTGGAATGAGCGGCATGGGCAGGTACCACGGCAAGTATGGTTTTGATACCTTCACACATAAGAAGTCGTGTTTGGGCAAGGATCTCTCAGCGTTTGGCGAAAAATTGGCTTCGTAAGTTGAATTTATCAATCAATATTAAGCATTGCAATTGTAACGATCCTTTCACTACACGCTTTCAGTGCACGCTATCCTCCGTATTCGGACGCCAAGGGCTCGCTGCTCTCGTTTCTATTGCGCAAACGCCGCCCACTTCCTAAACTGTATTTGACTCATATATTGGCTGTTGGAGTCGGTGTGGGTCTGACATTTTTAGCAAACTTTTACCTGCAGGTAAGAAAGGTACATTGCAAGCACAACTTGAAGCCATAGTTTGCAAAAATTAAAACATTCCTGTGTATTTTTTTTTTTTTTGCTAATCGTATTTTGATACGAACATACAACTTCGCGGGGAAAACTTCAAATTATGCCAACCTTGAAAACACGCACACCCGAACACTCTCATATGCATATAAACACCAATTCATACATTCCTATTGTCCACCGTTTTAGGGCAAGTTGTTATCACGTTAAATCAAACGGCAGCACGCACAAAACACCGATAACGGAGCCAGTGGAATTTATACATTTATATATATTTAGTGTATGGTTGATTTTATATATTTTTGTATGACCCAATCCCATATTTTAATCATGGTTAAAAACAAAACACTTAAAGAAATTATAATCAGCTTGGTAAAATTCATGTAATATTGTTTAATCAATTTTGCTGCAAAATTAATTGTGCTGTGTACATTTTTATATTTTCAGAATGATACAAAATGAAAATAAATGCCTTTACTTACTATTTATACGCATATCGGTGGGTGTACGTCAAACAATTGGATGCTCCTTAAATTAAGTCACTGTTATTTAGTTGCTATTTAATAAAAATTTACTGCTGAAAAATTTGTACCCGATTTTTATTTAAAAATCACGAAAGAGCGTTGCCGTACTGCGCATGTGTTCACAATGGCGTTTTCCAACACCGACGCCAGATTTGACAGCCCTGTATTTTGGTATTTTTTTAGCCACTTTGTTCTAAAGTCAAAAGGCACTTGGTTTTCTGTCTATTCATTTACTTGCTTTTGCGTATTTTTCTCTTGTGAAATATTTATTAAATACACGAACATGGCCGCACGCGGCGATTTAATTGCACAATTTATCGAAATAACAAGCTCTGATGAAAACGTTGCGCGCTTCTACCTTACCAGCTGCGATTGGGACCTAGAGGTGAGCTGAAACCGATGTGGATTGAAAATGCTTGTCTTCTAAGTCCAATTCATTGTTTAGCATGCTCTTGGCAACTACTGGAGCACCCAGAGTGATGCTCCGCCCACGCCTACACATGGTGGACAATCCAGCAATCCGTCTACGTCACAAAGCAATAGCGCTGGCGCTGATGCGGAGGCATCGCGATTTGGTCCCACAGCCAAACCAAAGTATGTATGATTACATTTACCGTTGTGAAGAAGGCTATACTATTCGCACTTTATGGTTAGGTTTGCTACATTGAGTGACATGTCAAAACAGCCTTCAAGCGATGATGAGCATCAGGCGTTCTACGCCGGTGGCTCTGATCGTTCTGGACAGCAGGTTTTAGGTCCACCGAAGCGCAAAAATTTCCGCGAGCAGCTTACTGATATGATGCGGGCTGCGCAGGAACAAAATATTGCCGAAGTAGGGATGGGCCCGTCGACATCGGCTAGCGTTCCAACAAACGCGGGAGGCGGCGTTTGGGGCCAGGGTATGCGTCTTGGTATGACTGACAACGATCACACTGCAGTGGGGACTGAACGGAATACGGCATCAGCTGAAAATAAGCCAGCAGTGGTTCTTAAACTTTGGAGTCAAGGTTTTTCAATTGACGGGGGTCAAAACAGCGGCGAATTGCGTCATTACGACGACCCACAAAACAAGGAATTCCTAGAAACGGTTATGCGAGGGTAAGAAAGTGTGTCACAAATCATGACTAAATGAATATATTGTTCGGTTACACTAGGGAAATACCCCAAGAGCTACTGGAGATGGGGCGCATGGTTAATGTCGACGTAGAAGATCATAGACAGGAGGATTTTAAACGTCAGTCTGTGCCTCCAACGTTCAAAGGTTCGGGACAAAAACTCGGAAGGTATGTGATTTTTGAATACGTATTTGGCGGTGCTTTAAAAATTGAAATCTTTTATGAATGCAGCCCCGGTGTTTTAGTTTCTGAAGAGCCAGCTGAAGCAGTTGCTCCTGTTGACGTTGCTAAAGATGAGGATAGCGCTCGCAATGCCATTAACTTAAATTCTGATGCTCCGTCGACTACCCTACAAATTCGCCTTGCTGACGGATCTCGATTGGCCGCTCAATTCAATTTGACACACACAGTCTCTGATATACGCCGCTTCATACAAACGTAAACAAGCATTTACACTTATATTTTGAGCAGTCGTATTAACCTGTTGCACCCTATGATATTTCCAGAGCTCGGCCACAATATTCGAATAGCAATTTCATCTTGGTTTCTTCGTTTCCCACACGCGAACTAAGCGATGACAGCTCTACTATTGAGAAGGCAGGTCTCAAGAATGCCGCTCTTATGCAACGTTTAAAGTAAGCAATCTGCTTTTAAATCAGGATAATTGAAGCTAACAGGATTCCAATAAAACAATTAAAAATTTCATATTTAATTAAGAATCATTGAAGTTATAGATATGGTACTTTCGGGAAAAAAAGCATCGGAATTACATGCTGCTTGCTACCAAATGATGTTTAGTTTCTATATTACATATACAATACAAAATTCGCTTGTATCCAATGGATAATTTATGGCGTTTTACTTTTGGCAGTCAGGTAATTTCTTATATGCATATTAAACCAAAGGGGAGTCAGCTAGATCTTAACCTGAAACTTAGACTAGATTTTGAGTCTTATTATGTGATTTCTACTATATTAGCACATCCACTTCGTTGCGTAAGGCATTGATGTGTTCCATAAAGTCCTCCCGCACTCCATTCCGCCAGTCGTGTAGACCATCTTCTCCTACGTGCTGGCAGTGTACATAGCGATGCACAAATGCAGACGAGAGCGGCAGCTCAACGCTTTGCGCCTGAGTTAGCGCTAGCAATTGTGATGACTGTTGATCCAAGCGGTAAAAGAACATTTTGTGTGGCGGCTTTAGCTCCGGATCATAATGTGTATTATCTATTAACAACTTTCTATTCGTATCGATGCAAACAGAAAATGTGGCCATCTGAAATCTCGATATCTCCGTGGTGTAATGTCGTAATTGACGATAAAAGGAAAGTTGCGATTGGTCGCCCACAATGCGTACACTCGGATAGAAAAATTCATTTGGTGTCAACAGCATGGTTAGGGCTGCATAATTCGAGTTCCGTAGTAAACAATCTGTTAGGATCAGCTGCCGGATACGTGTAACAGTTCCATTGGCTTGAACAAACGGAAAGTTGAATGGTAGTGCATAAAGATGCATACTTGTACGCTCCAATACGCTAATTACTTTTTCTGGCAGCTGATCGTAGTTATAAACTAGAAAATGTTCTACCCCGAGGGCTTGGTGATATAGAAAGAATTGTAACAGATTATTATTGTTTGAGCTCATATTATACGTCACTAAATCAACGCATATCGTGGCAGGTAATCGCGCAAGAAGGTTCGATTCAGTATTCTTATTCGATGGTTTTAAATATCGTAATCGCAGCTTCATTTGGGTTTTTAGAGACGCCGTTGTATCCATTAATGAAACATATTCCGGCTTACCAAAATCACGGTTCACAAGGCAGTAGAAGTTATAGTTTGTGAATGTTGTTGACTTGTCTTCTGCGATACTTTCGTTAGCATCTCGTTGAAAGCGAAACTTGCCTTGTACGCTTCGAGCTCCTCCATCATAGATGAGGGTACAACGAAAATCTACCACTGCGCCTTTTTTCCCCTACATTTACAAAAATACATAGACAAGGAACTTTAAGAACTGTTTGAGAAAAAGCATCTCTTACCACAACAAGAATGTGCGCTTCGCCTCTGGCTACTAACTCGTTACGCTTCCAGAATGCGGAATACGCATGAAAAGATTCTCCTATCAGCTGAAAGACTGGCAACGGCTTCGAGAGAGCCGGCAATGTCAGGTCCTCCTTTGTAGCATTCTTTTCGAGGCGCCTCAAAATCGCGGCGTCGCTTCTTCCGAAGAAGTTCACATACTTAAGCACGTATTTTAGGCGATTGTTTTCACTTTTGTACATTAAAAGTACGCCTATACTGAAGCAAGATATTAGCAACAGGGCAAGTTGCTGGTACTTCCTCATTTTTGGCAGAGTTAGGTCGGTTCGGTCCGAACTTGTTCTAATTACCGGGTCTTTTAAATGAACTACTGAACTAGATCTTAAGCCATAGTTCCTATAGAACCTCTAGTTCTACATAAATTAATTGGGTAGTGGTATTCATTCACTTAATACTAGTGGCGAAGGTTTCGGAGTTTTTTTTCGTTTTCTATTTCGGTGTTAATTTAACAAACAATTAACACCTTTTCGGAATAGCCTTCATATCTTTTGCCATCAGACAAAAGTTACTTATCTTTTTGAAATAAAATAATAATGGAGTTGAATTAGCCTGACTTTTTAAACCTCTGTATCAGATTATTACCATTTTTATGTATGTATTTAAATGGTGTTGCTTGCAAACCAATCCTGACTTCGAGCTATCAACATTAACTAAATATACATACATATATGTATATATTTTTGATTTGATTTATTATTGATTATAAGTTTAAAAACTGTCTATTATTGTAACTTAGAATTAATCCTAAATAACAATGTTACTTTATTGCCAATGCATCTAAGAATTTCAACCTTTTGTTATTTTCTAGTAAAGAAGCTTTTTTGAAACGTTAAATTTTAAGGGAATACACCATTAAGCATCTTATGGTAAACGAAAAATCTTACGAGCTTTTCCACCTTTAAAGCAATTTCATGCGGCAATGTTTCAGTGCTGTACAATGCAAAATTCTGTGCTGGACATTATAAAATATAAAAATTGAGACAGCTTCTGTGTTTTCATCGTCGAGAATGTTATCGACTAGCGTATTTTTTGTCGTACGAAAAATTTAGTTTGAAGCCCAAAATGAGTGCAAAGGCTTTGGTGAAAGATATACGCGAATCTATAAAATCCGGAAGCTATGAGGATGCTATAAAAAAGTGTCAAGTAAGTATCAACTGTGTTATTATTGTTACCTTTGTTTTAGTGACGCTGTTTCCAGAGCCTGCTAAACGTTGACAAGAAAATGGGATACTTGTTGCTTGGCGCCGCATATCAGAACGTTGACAAAATTGAAGCAACGAAGCACCTGCGGAAGTCAATCGAGCATACAGATGGTTCTCCCATTGTTGCTTTGCAAGGACTTGCAACTTGTGCGCCCTCCACTGAGTTGCCAGAGATTTTAGATCAGTTGCTGGATTTAGTTCCGTAAGAGCGCGATGTGGCGTGGAAAATGCGGAATTACGATTTGTTTCTTGTTTCCAGGGAGAAGTCCGAAGACTATTATGACAGGCTTTTTGCACTCGCCGCAGATGTTTCGGCGGCTCCATTATGTTTTGGTGTCTTAAAGAAGCGAGCACAAAATGTATCTGATCCCAATCACACACTCGCGCTGCAGTATCTGGGCAAAATTTGGGTTTCCAATGACTTTGAAGCAACCACTACAGAGGGCGAGCTCGTTAGTACTAGCCATTTAAATACAATAGATTAACAACACGACAAAACAACTATATTCCTTTCAGTATAAAGCTGCTATGGAGAAATTACTGGCAGTTTCAGATGGAGATCACCAAATCTTGATATATAAGCGTTATCTTAAGTGGCTGTACAAGGAGCAAGATTACGTCAGTTGCATACGTAATGCCTGCAACATGACCATTTCTCACCCTAAACATGTATATGCGTATGAGTGGATATGTAAGATATACTGCGAAACCCATTGGCAGTTAGACAATGAAGCTTGGCAGCTGGAACTGAAGCAGCCCATACAGTCTTATGCGGAAATACTTATAAATCTTAACGAGAATTCCAATCTTGGTTTACTTACAAAAGCGTTTCATATGTACGGTCAAGACCAATTTCTTGGAGCACGACAACTAGCACTGCAGGCACAGAAATCTCATCCAACATACAAAGTAACATTGGAGCTGCTGGCACGGATACATATGCAGTTGGGTGCCTATAAGATGGCTCTACTGTTGTGGCAAGAATTGGGACAAGTACATGAGGAGTATGCCGAGTGTTTGTCCTATGAAACAGATGCAACAAAGCTCAAGGAAGCAGTCAACCTGCTGGAGAACTCGGAAAGAACAGTAAAAAATGTGAAGTGCCTAGCACGGTAATAATAGAGGCTTGTACATATTTGAAAATGATCATGAATTTGATTTTTTTCTTTTATTTTTCAGTTGCTATGCCAAACTGAGTCAAATGCAACTTTTGCAAACATTGTCATTAGACGAACTTTCAAAGGTCGAATATTTTCTGTAAGTAAACTTATGTGAAAAACTAAAAATACAATAATGTTTCTAATTTTCTAGCTCACCCACCGAAGCCCTTCAAAAACTTGCTGCTGGGGAATCGTTTGAGGAATTACTCCTTTGCGGAGAGCTTCACTTTAAGTTGGGCCAATATGCCGACGCTTTGAAGTGTATGCTTAAAGCTACCCGGCTCAGGCCGCACTTTTCCAAATGCTTTGATTATCTGGGCCGCTTATACCAATCCAATGGTGATCTAAATCGGGCTCGTAAATGTTTTGAAAAATGCATTAATCTGAACCCGCTGGCCGAGCAGGCTGTTGATGCGTTGAGCTCCATATACCAAGAGTTGGGCGAAGAGGATCTGAATGAGACATTGCTACAAAACACCCTACGATATTTAAAAAGTGACGATGCTGTGCGTTTGCAGTACAAACTAGGACTGCATTTTCTTCAAGTTAAAAAATGGGATGACGTATGAACTGTACTATGGTTATAATAACAAAGTACTGATAATTCTCAATTTCCAGGCAATACAATGTTTTCGCATCGCTATCAAGCACGACTTCAAATGCATGGTCTACTGGGAATCGTTGGGTGATGCCTATGCCTCTCGTGGTTCATATAACTCTGCCATTCGTGTGTTTGAGAAGATCCTAATGCTCTCCCCTACCAACTGCTACGCGCAATTGCAAGTTGGCATCGTTAAAACGGTACGGAATGAGTCAATTTGTATTCTTGGTTGTAACTTTATAATTTGTAATTTTATAGACCATTCGGATGTATCCAGAGGCGATAGCAGATTTTAATACCCTTCTTCAGCGAAATCCAAATTACTTACCTGGCTTAAAGGGCATTGCGGAAGCGCATATTGGGCTAGCACAAAATCTTAAGGGCCAGAATCTGTATGGACGAGCTAAGCTAAATTACCAACTGGCCGTAAACCATCTGCAAAGGTCGATCACCGACAGGCATTGCTTTTATCAAATTCGAAATTTATTATCAAACATTGCAGTGCCTTTTTACAACCGAAAGCACATCAAATGGTCTGGCTGTGGCGTTTGATGGCCAATGCATTTGTGCAAACAGCACAACTCCCCCTATCACTGGCTAATTTGGATGTCGACGGCAGTTTGGCAAAGAGGAATGAAGCCATAACTTTCCTGTCACGAGAAGAGCTCTTAGTATTGGCCCAAAGATTTTATCTGTGTTGTTTAAAATTGAAGCAAAACACGTTTTTATGGTACGAATTGGCCATGTGCAGTTATCTGAGTGCTGTCTACATACCGGAGAAAGCAGCAGTATACTTGGAAACGGCTGCCAAGGTGTGTAAGATGGCCATAAAGGCGTGCACGAATCGGTGGCAGAATTGGAACCTCTTGGGCGTCATAAATATGCACAGCGCTAATGAAAATTTAGCACTAGCGCAACACTGTTTTATAAAAGCTGTCACCGTTGAACGTAAATCTTTCACATCGTGGACAAATTTGGGGGTTCTGTATTTGAAACTGCGCGATATTCGGTTAGCCAATGAGGCGTTTAATCGGGCACAACAGGCCAGTCCGATTTACCCAAATGCGTGGATTGGACAGGCAATGGTTGCCGAGACGATTGGCGAGCATGAGGAGGCTTTTGATCTGTTTCGGCATTGTCAGCAGTTTGAATATCATCCAGAAGCGGCTCTCGGATATGCACACTGGGTATGTGAAGTGCTCTCAGATCCAGTGCTTCGTAATAAGCCACACAATAAACATGCGATCCGACATATGTATGCAGACATCTGTGCATTGGATGCTATTAATTGGTTTGTTTTAAAAAATATTTCTTTCAATGATTAAATAATAATACATATCTTTTAGGTATATTCAAAATGAGGAAGGGGATGCGAATGTTGCATCATTAACTCTTCAGGGATTCCTATATGCCCGCCAAAAAATGTATCAAAAAGCTATCACTGCATTTGCTCGAGCCTGCAAGTTGGCAGAGCCTGGTGCTGATCGGGACAAACTATACACAAATCTAGGTTATTTGTATTTGAAGTTAGGTCAGCCAGAACAGGCGGTTATGGCGCTTAATACTGTGGCCAATGCAACATTCAAACCCATAATTGGACTAGCACTGGCGTATTATCGCTCCGGTCAGTTGCAAGAATCGTATTCTATTTACAACTCTGTCCTGAACAGTGTCGCTGGGCAAGATGATGAAAAGGCTTCAACTATACTAGTTGCCATGGCTTCCATGGTTTATGCTTTTCAAGGTCAGGCTGATACAAAGACTTTGCTTTATCAATGGTGAGTATAGAAATAATAAGAAAAAGCTGCTGGTAAATATAACAGTTTTTCTTCTATTGAATAGCATATTACTCAAGGGAGTGGCAATTCAGGCATTGTTTTCCGCTTGTGCTTTGGGTGTCCTGCACTGTGACTATGAACTCATTGAAACCATTATGTCTGAATTTGTTGCTTATGAATACAATGAAGTATACTGCGCAGACGTGTCATATCTAACAGCGCACTACCGCCTCGTGAGAGTAAGATATTGAACCCCTGCATAGAATTAAGAGACACTTCACCAAACAAATTGTACATGTATTGTTTTTGCTCGTATTTTAGGAAGGTCTATGTGAAGCGGTTAACTACTTACAAAAGCGTGTGCGAATGTTTCCTCAAAGCGCCGCATTACGCAAAGTATTTGCCAAATTTCTTCTTGATTACTGTTTCGAAAACAGAAAATACCACCTAGCAACATCTAATATGGCATTAACAGCTTTAAAATTGGGACACCTCTGTTTAAAAAAAGGGTTCGTTACTATATTGTTTTTTGACTTCCAACCTGATTTATATTTTTATTCATAGTGTTACTGCTAAGGAGGAAGCGGAGATTAATCTGTATGCATGTCGAGCTCTATTATCCATTAACAGGAACCAGTCTTTAGAGCTTATTCAACGTACTATTCGTCTGGATCCCAGAAATAAACTAGCCAGAGAAATCCTATCCAGCATATGTTAAATCGCCTGTTCATTTACCATTTTAAATTAAAAGTGAATTAGGCGTGAAACAAGTGATTCAATATTTGTAATAAAATGTAATTTCCATTTTCCTTGCCAAATGGATGTTAAATTGAAATTATGTATAAACTTGTTAGACTTGTAGGTATTTAACAATTTCAAGTGGAAGATTGGCGGGAGTGAAATCAATCTTTTTTCAAAATGGTATATGTACTCCAATTTTCATTGCGACATGTTTAAATCATTAAAGACACAAAATAATGTTTTAGAAAGTAATAAATGGTAATAACGGTATCGGCGCAGCCAAAATTAATACCGCAGTTTTATAAAAATAAACGTAAGAATACAATAAATTATCTTCATAAAATACAAAAGCTGGTTGCTTTAAAAATCGATACATGTGCTTAAGTCGATTATTAGAAAAGAAATTCTACCGGTCTGGCAGCATTTTTTAATCGGAGAAGTGCATTCTGGTCGGGGATGAAGCAAATTGTCCAGCAGAAAGAAAAAAAATGTGTGCAAATTGTTGAAAATGAGAATGAAACAAGCATGTTTTTGGATAGAAAAGTGTACAAGCGGCTTTAAGAAATTGAAATGGTAGTGAAAATCGTTAGTATGTTTGCTAAAAAGCAGTTAAACTTGTTGAATTTGTACGGCGTCGTCTGTGTATGACTCCGCCCAGCGCCCCCCCTTGCCATAAATACCTATGAAAAACCTGCTGCTGTCTGCTATAATTACAGTTAGACACTAAAATAGCTACACGGGCAGATAATTAAGGAACACAGCCAACGACTGCACCGCCAGTGCATATAGAGTGTAACTGTGTGTGCACGAACGCCTACACACTGTGAAGGGAAGCAATTGCAATGGAAAACGAGTCCGTTAAATCTGAACAAAGTGGACGCTCCAGACGGTCTCGAAATCACAACAATAATAGCAGCAGCGCTGGTGGTGGAGGCAGTATAAACAACGGATACCATAGAGATCGTAACCGTCACTCACATCGTAGTACGCACTCTTCGAAGTCGGGAAAGAGTGGATTTCAGCGTAGTGATATGGCGCCTTATCAAACAAGCGTGAATATGACAGGTAAGCTGAAACGGTTGTTATAATGTGCATTGCTCCTTCATTTTGACATACTGTTCTTTCAGGTGAGGAATCTCGCGACGGCCAGGAAGTCATCGAGGTGCAAATCCTGCCCCAAGATGAAAACTGGGGAGAAAACACTACGGCCGTTACAGGCAACACTTCGGAGCAGAGCATATCGATGGAGGATATCAACAACATGTGGCACCGTGAGAACGACAAGGGATTTGGCTTCGCCTGTCGCCGTTATGTTGAATCGACTTTTTACTTCTTGTTGGGCTGTGCTGCATTTTTTTCCCCAGTCGCAATGGTTGTTATGCCACGGCTTGGGTTCTTCCCATCGGCTTTTGACCATCCCGAGCTAACCCAGACAGTGCGTACCCAATTACTTGCATGCAGCGAACAATGCAAAGGACAACTGGTTTCTTTGGTCGCCCGCTTGCTGTTACTTGCTATTGGCTTGTGGGCGTTGTTTATGCGACGCACCTCCGCAAGTATGCCACGCATATTTCTTTACCGAGCCATCGTTCTGTTGCTGGTCACAATATGCACATTTGCTTATTGGCTCTTCTACATTGTGCAGGTCACAAATGGAGCAAAAATTGTAGTTGAAACTGGTGGCGATGCTGTCGATTATAAGTCCTTGGTGGCTTATTCGACTAACCTTGTTGATACGCTGATCTTTATCCACTATGTTGCTGTGGTTCTATTGGAATTACGGCATCAGGAACCACGTTATTACGTGAAAATAATTCGCTCTCCTGATGGTGTTTCGCGGTCTTATATGCTTGGCCAACTAAGCATTCAGCGTGCTGCGGTTTGGGTGCTTCAAAACTACTACGTGGATTTCCCCATTTTCAATCCGTATCTGGAGCGCATACCAATCTCTAAGTCGCAACGCAACAAAATATCTACCAGCTTCAAGTACTACGAGGTTGATGGTGTTAGCAATGCTCAGCAGCAGAGCCAAAGTCGTGCTGTTCTGGCAGCGAATGCACGGCGTCGTGATTCTTCGCATAATGAAAGGTTTTACGAGGAGCACGAATATGAGCGACGGGTAAAAAAGCGCCGAGCACGTCTCATCACCGCAGCCGAAGAAGCTTTCACACATATCAAACGCATACACAACGAACCGGCGCCAGCACTTCCGCTCGATCCACAGGAAGCAGCTCAAGCAGTATTTCCATCAATGGCACGTGCTTTGCAGAAATATCTACGGATAACCCGTCAGCAACCACGACACACCTTTGAAAGCATTCTGAAGCACTTGGCGCACTGCCTCAAACATGACTTGTCTCCCCGAGCATTTCTGGAGCCATATCTGACTGAATCGCCAGTAATGCAAAGTGAAAAGGAACGGCGTTGGGTGCAGATGTGGGCATTAGTAAGCGAAGAGATAGTTTCGCGGCCCATCTTTAATGAGTGTACGTTCCAATTGATTCAAAATGATATATCCTTAATGGTCAAGGTGCATACCTTGCCCTTTTTTAATATCACAGAGGAAATATTTGACCCTATAAGAAGCAATAAGTTTGTTTTAAAATTAAACTCTGAAACGTCCGTATGACATAACAATCTACTTAATGTAAGAACACCGCCTATAGTAACGCCCACGCACAGCAATCAAACACAATCGTCGTACTTGCATGTTTTTGTCTGAGGGATATCAGCATTTATCTTAAGTTAGACCTTCATTTTAGTTGAATGGTACATATAAAGTTTGATTTTAACTTTAACAGACACTTTTATATACATATGAATGCAAAATATCAAAAAGTGCTCAAGCCCAGTGAATCCTAAAAAACCAACACATATCACATGTCCCTTTAAAACAGAATGTCTCTCAAGTTCCCAAAGTTGTAATCGTAAGAATGGAGATCGTTTCCGAAATAGCTTCTTGTATGATCGCGTTTCAATATACACTTTTAAATTTTAGAAAATAATTAGTGATAAGTAATTTACCGAAAAGAATAACTTCATGGGCAGTAGAAGGTGGAGGAAAGTATAGGTTTTCGAATAAGACTTGCGTAAACAGTGTTGGTCTAAATGCAATTCTGATACTGTTTGCGCGACTCGTACAGTTAGAGATGACGATAATGCTGTAAAGTTTTGTGGTACTAAAAAAAACAAAGAAAGCTCCTACCATTTGTTCCACTTATAGGCAGAGATTCCATAAATATATCTCAGTTACGATAAATCCAGAATTCATGAAGTTTTGGAAATTGGTAAAAATTTCTCCCTAAATTGACAAATGGTTGAAAACCTGGTAGGGATAAACTATGACATAGCTCTTGTAAGGAGTAGTTTTCACCGATTTCTGTAACATTCCTGAATGTAAATTCGAATACAGAAACAAATTATGACAAATAAGTAAAGCAAGAGACTGCAAAATTGCATTTTTATACAGAAAAATTGCCAACTACTATGTGCGAATAAGAAGTGCATTTCCACATATACAAACATATGTACTTATTTTTAGATAAGAAATTTTAATCATTAAGTCATACATGTACACACATATGTAAATGCAAAAACGTATGTACGTAGAGCACTTTTATTCATCTTTATCGCAGAATTTTATTTCCATTTCTAGCTAAATGCTTTATCATGTTTTTTTAATTTACAAAATAACAATGCATATGCCTATTAAAATAAGCAATTTTACACAATTCGTATTATACTTGTACTAAGTAATGTGCTGGCGTAACTCCTAAACAATAGCTAATTTCAAACTTTTATTACATGAAAAGGTATGGTTTACCTTTAGGAAAGCATTGTTAAAGGAAACCCAAATTGTATTTGCCAGTATTTAACTTATGAAACAGCCGCATGTCGTATAAATAAACGCAACAACTTTTTAAACAGCTTTAAAAAAAGGGTAATTATTGGAAGTAAAGCCCATATAATTAAAGGACCATCTGCTCTTTTGCATAAGAAATGCGGTGTTGTGTTCGCTGGAAATGTTTATTACAGCTTTCAGCGCCAATCTTTGTTTATGTGGCTTATAACATAACCAGACGATTCTCTTTACAGTCGCGATTTTGCTGAAATTAGTGTATAAACATATTCACTCGTACATATACGTATCATTGCCACCCGCAAAGAACACCTCAACCTGATAAGGCGTAATATAATAATTTGTTTGTGCGCGTTCGCTGGAAATGTTTATTTCTGGTTATAAATAATGTGCTATTTACTATGAATACATATTTAATATTAGATTAGGGCTAAATCAACAACTTTTCCGTTGTTGCTATTTGGTATATCGGTATCAGTTTTATTTTACTGCTTTAAAATTAAACCTATAATTTTGGGTGGAGTGCTCATTTTTAATGTGCCGTCAAATTCGCTTCTGCATTGTTTAGTCCGCTCTCATCTGAAGACCATTCTTTTTTGGCTCGTAGAATTCATCAACAATGGCTTCGACCATGCGTTTAAGTGTGGTTGACAGCTTATCCCAATTCTTGTCGTCTGGCTTACCGCACATCTCGGCATAGTACTTCATCTTGGGTTCTGTGCCACTTGTGCGCAGAGTGACTACCAAACCATTCTTGAAGATGAAGGTTATCATCTGAGCGTTTTCGTTCACAGGCAGCGTAGCCTTTTGATCCGAAGTACTGCTATCGTAACCAGTGGTCAAATCACGTACATGCTCGATTTCGAACTCGCCGTTCAATATGCTCTTCGGATAAGTATTTTCTTGCCCTTCATCAAATGTGCGCAGACGGGTGAATATGGTTTTGATTAGCTCTGGATCCTTACAAATGACATATGAACAAACGCTCGTGTGGAATCCGTATGTTTCGTAGATATCACGCAATTTCTCCTGTAAGGACATGCACTTCTTGGAGCGCAAGTAGCAGGCCATGGTTGCAACGTGGGCTGCGGCACTAACACCATCCTTGTCCACGACATTGGTGGACACCATAAAGCCGATAGCTTCTTCAAAGGCAAATAAAACTGTTTTACCCTCTGCTTGTGCCTCAATTGCCTTGTTGCCCATCCATTTGAAGCCTGTTAGGGTCTCGTAGAAAGTGAATCCTTCCTGTTCGCCCATCGCTCGAAGGATTTTCGAACTAACGGTGCTGGCAATCATTACGCAATTCGAGATGTCACCTTCAGGTTCACGGAATTTGTAGTTTTCCAATGCCCACCAGCCTAGAAGTGCTCCCAGCTCGTTACCAGTGAATATTTTCCACTTCTTTTCACGATCAATTTCGGCTACTGCTAAACGATCAGCATCAGGATCGTTGGCCAATATTATCGGAGTGTTGCACATATTGGCCCTTTTGAATGCCAACTCCAACGATGTCTTGCCTTCTTCCGGATTTGGGAATTTGACAGTGCTAAAGTTAGGATCAGGCTCCACTTGCTCCGTCACTGGCACAGGTTGCTTTATGTTGATAGTATCAAAAGCTCTCTGTACATACGGGTAGCCTACGCCATGCATAGCGGTATAGGTAAAGGTCAGTGAACATTTGCCATTTTGTTCCATCATTGAACAGGGGATTAATTTCTTAAGCGCATCATAATAAAAGGGCACAACAGATTCGTATGGATCGTTAAGCATGTCGTTGGCGCAAAGAGCCGATTCATCCCACGCATCACCATTCGGTTCTAAGTTTTTCATTATTGACTCCTGTATACCAGCGTCATGTGGTGGAATAATCTGTGCTCCGTTGCTCCAATATACCTTATAGCCATTGTCTTCTTTAGGATTGTGGGATGCGGTCACCATGACACCCGCCAGACATTTCAACCGAAGTATCGTGAAGGGCACCAATGGTGTAGCAACAAACCGAGTGTATAGCTGCACTCTAAATTTGTTATTTAGGAATATAATTGCAGTCAATTCCGCATAGCGCTTGCTATTGTGACGACCATCATATCCAATTACTATGCCCTTATCGCCCCATTCAGATTCCTCAGGAACTTGCTCCTTAATGTAAGCACAAAGCCCTTGTGCGCTCTGAACAACGACCAATTCATTCATCGAGTCGAACCCAGCCCGCATACAGGCCCTTAACCCAGCAGTACCGAATTCTATGCGATTTAAGAGTCGCGCTCGCAGCCTAGAGTTAAAAAGAGACCCACGTTTATTGGGTTTGGGGGTTGTTACCTATTTTCGGTGCACTTACGTGTTCCAATCTTCACATCGGACAGCATTCATGATTTGGTTGCGAGTTGTTTCATTTCGGTCCCACTTAATCCAATTCCTGATCTGCTGGTCCAGCTCAGGATCCCCGGACAGTTTCATGTTCTTAATTTCGCATAGTAAACTTGTATTAGTGGAACACATTTTGGATTTAATTGATTCGACGGCCTTGACGAAAATTTAGTAAATCCTAAAAGAACAATTTAGACTTGTGAAATAAAAGACTAGAAAATGTGTGTGTATAGAATGACTGACAATAATTTCATTGAACAGCCGCCTACTGAAAAACAAAAAAAGCCGATGGGGTGTGTAGTAAAGAAGGCACGTCAATTTCGCACAACTATAGATAGCAGCGAGTGTGTGATTGTGATTAGTACAAGTTCGGCCTTTATCAATTAAAATATATTTACACAAACAACCGCTTACCCGGAACAAACAAACCGCCCCGTCCGCACAGGTCAAAAAATAATATTGTAATGCTCAGAAATCATTGCAGTGCCACTAACGATAGAAATGCTGAGCAGTGCTAAAAAATGTAAAACCGGAAAAGTACTTAATTTGACCAAAATTGTGCGAATTTTAACCATCACTGTCGGACGCCTGAGCCGCATTCGACTGAAATAATTACAATATTCCACATTAGTTGTAAAAAGTATTACAAATGGCTGATGTGTTGGACATTGATAATGCTGAGGAGTTTGAGGTCGACGAGGATGGTGACCGTAAGTATGAATTAGAAATTGTGTTTCTTAAAGTCGTTAGAGCCAGTTGTTCATGCTATTTTCTCTCCTCCGCATGGTGAAAAATACGCTCTATAGAAGGCATTGTGCGCTTAAAGGAGAAAGCTAAACACCGCAAGGGACGCGGTTTTGGTGGCGAGAGCAACACTCGCGAGACCATACATAGTTATGAGCGCGTGCGAAATGAGGACGACGACGAGCTGGAGCCTGGACCTCAGCGCTCTGTGGAGGGATGGATTCTGTTTGTCACTTCGATTCATGAGGAGGCCCAAGAGGACGAAATACAAGAGAAGTTCTGCGACTATGGCGAAATTAAAAACATACATTTGAATTTAGATCGGCGTACTGGTTTTTCGAAGGGATATGCTTTGGTAGAATATGAAACGCACAAGCAAGCGCTTGCAGCAAAGGAAGCTCTTAATGGCGCCGAGATTATGGGGCAAACCATTCAAGTAGATTGGTGCTTTGTCAAAGGACCAAAACGTGTGAAAAAGTCAGAAAAACGTCGTAGATAGAGCATCCACATTCTATCGAAGAGCTACATACTCCATAGAAGAGTAGTTTACATAGGTTTAATATATCAGTACCGAAATAAATCCAACTACATAAAGATACATATAATCAATTTATTGGGTTGACTCTAACAATTACTTCATTTTCTTTTGGTGAAGCAAATGTTTGCGCAATGCTTGTTGTTTGTCGCGAAAACTCTTTTTGACTTTGGAACGTGCTTTTTGTCTCAACATTCCAAAGTTTTTCGTTTTGCGCTTCTCACGATTTGTCTTAGAACAGTGTTCGTTTTTACGTCCGTCTTTCCAGCCAAAGCGTTCTCGATCTTGGCGACCAGCTTGAACTGTTTCCAGGCGGGATTCCTTGTCGTGCTTGCGCTTCTTGAAAATCATTTCTATACTATTTAACTTTACGAACTCGGACCGGTCTTGTTCCAGCGGACGTTTGCGTGCACTTGTCACAGTTTTCTTAAGATTGGCCGCATTTATGCGCTTGAAATCCTCGTCTGTGAAAATGCGTGTCAGGGCCAATTCCTGAGCAGCTTCCTTTTGATCCAACACTTCAACATTAATTTTTTTCTCTGTGTCACCACTTTTATCAGATTCATCATCATTCTCTTCATCATCATCGGGCTCTTCGGCACTGTCGTCAACACTACCATCGACGTCGCCATCACTGTGGGCAACGTCAACCCATTCGCCATCATTGGAATCTGTTTCGTCGTCATCGTCACTACCCAGATCAATTGTTTTAGAGTCTTTGAGAAGAGCTTCGGCACCAAGTACTGTATTATGAACTTCTCGTTCTCCGTAGGCGCGTACTTTTCGCTCCGCTTGTGCTTCAGTCTGACGCCCACGATCCTTCTTATGCAGCAGAGCCGGTAACTGCTCCCGGTAAAGCGTAATCAGCGACCGCGCCGCCATCATGACCGATTTTTCCTTATACGTTTTGTACATGGCCAGATCCTGTAATAAATCCTCACCCATAGCTAGTGGACAGCGCATGCAAATTTCCCTCGTTGCATTTAGTCCTATGGCCATAACATCGCTTGAGTTTCTTTCGGTAATAAAATTGTTGGCGATTGTCTTTAATATGGGTTCAATAATATCTCCAGGTACGAGTTCGTGGGAGGCTTGAGCAGCAAATTGAAGCACGCGTGTAACCTGGCGTTGATGCGGTTGTAAAAAACGAGTAATGTACGGATAGTAGCCAAACAGGAACAATTCATGTATGCCAATTAGTCGCGATATAACATCCAAATGCATCAACTTTACTTCGAACCGTTCGTTGGTGGCCTGCAATTGCTTGAATAGACCTTCGGCCATACCCTGTGGATTGTGTACTAAATGGATGCCTGAAAAATTAAATGCTGGTGCATTTTTTTTCTTTTTTTGTGCCTTTATAGCTTGCTTCTTAATTTGTTGTAGTTGCTTTTGCCGCTTTTTGGTTTTCTTGTTCACGCGGTTAACCATAAGGGCACCTTTTAAATCGACCTCATTCTCACTTTCCGAGTCGGACCCTTCGTCTTCCTCATCGTGTCCCAAAAAGAATTTTAGCGAAGTAACCAGCACCTTAGAAACGTTGACAAAAATAAGTTGAGATCAATCGCGGAACTAATTTAACTTACCTTCGTTACTTTGGAGAAACAGCCGACAGTCGCTATAACGTTCACGGTTTTGGCATCATTCCAAATGTTCTTTTTGTACAACTCCACCATAATGTCAGCCGACATTTTTGCGGCCTTTGGATTGGCATCTTTCAACATGGTGTACATGAAGTTTTGTAAGCTCTGTTGGATCATCAAACAGAGATTATTAGAATATGACAATACTCGTATGTACATAGTAAGTATTATAAGTAAGTATTATATTACCGAATTCAGTTTCATGTCCTTGTGCTTGGCATTCATGTTTTTTATATCCGTCACGATATGAGTCTGTAGGAAAGTACGCAAGTTCTTATCCTGGCAGCGTAGCAGCTGAAAAAATAGCTCCAAGAGGTCGAGTGCAGGCACCAAATTTTTATTACGTAGCAATATTAGAGCCTTCACAAAGCAATTACGCATGGCCGGATCCAAGACAGTGGCATAATTTTTCAGTAAATCGGCCAGGCGTTTGGGAAATTGCTCACATATTTCTGGATAGCACTGAGCCGTTTGGGCAATAAACATAATTATATCGTCCAGGGATTTATTTTCCACGCTTGGATTCAAAGCAAACACCTCTAGCAAGCTGAGAAAATGTTCGTATTGTGTACGGAACTCATCACTGTACGACTCCGGATCGCGCTTTATTAGGTTCTGCAACTGCGGAAGGTTGTCCGGCAATTGGTTATTGGGGCGCACCATTGTGATGCAGAATTTCAATAAAGTAATAACAGTTACTCTTAGCTGTATGCACGTGTCGTTTTCTGGTACTGCCACTGCGCGTGGGACTATCAGCTGATTTTCTCCTGCACTTAAACAGCTTTTCGGCATTTGCGCTTTGCAGCACTGGCTTTCCAACACCGTTGCAGCAGAATTAATTTTCTCAAACGCAAAAAATGATGGACTTGCAGTCTAATGATGTTGATTTGGAGGATGGAGAAGTAAGTGAGCCGCAGAGAATGAAATAGAAAATAACCATGTGTGTATTTAGCTGTCAGAAAGTGCCGATGACGAAATCTATAAACCGCTGCAGCGGCCTACTCCTATATCAGCCCCAACTACGGGCATTGAGAAAGTTGCGAGCCCGCTTGCCACCTGCCACCAGATACAATGCGCCTTAGATGATGACTCACAGACCAACAGCGAGTCCTCGTCGGGTGAATCTTCAGAGGGATGCATAAAAAAATTGCGCACAGATGCCGCCGCAATTGATGGTCAAAGGAAGCGAAAACATCGCACTAGGCGCACTGTCATGGTGCGAGTACCGCCCACAGACGCAGACATGCAGCCGAATCGCGCGCGCTTCAAAAAGTACAACGTGTGGACGGCGGCTTTACAGGAAGAAACTCTTAGTGAAAATATGAGGGGTTGTGACGTGACCCGTGGAACCAGTGACCGCAACGTTGAGAACTATGATTTTTCGTTAAAGTATCGCCTCAACGGGGAGAACGTGTTAAAGCGCCGGTTATCCAATTCTTCAGAAGAAGAGGAATCGCACTCAGTCCATAAAAGGGGGCGTCCATCAGGTCGTGCAGCCGTTGACTACCTCCAGCAGCGGGGTACGGTTAAAAGTCGAATTGTACATCGTTCTCGCCGTCACACTTCCTCTGCTAGTGCGTCCTCGGACAACACATGTGAGCCTAGGCAAATTCTCGATTTAAATGAAACGAGGGGACGCGAACCTTCTGATGTGGCCCGTGAAATGGCCAACAAATTACACGAGAAAAAAGACGAGCTTTTGGGTGAGTTGAGATTTTAAACATGATACTTACACATATGTAAAGTGTTTGCATCGTTTACATATTTACGTATATATTTATACATACATACATTTATAAAATTTTTTTTTACTTTGAGTAGTGAGAGCTATAGAAATACTCGGCATAGAATTGCTGCAAGAAATATACAAGGAAACACAGCGCATCGAAGCTGATGGCGGCATGATGATCAAGGTAAGTGGCGTATTAAATCGTTCTGACTATATTTAATGTGAATTCTCCGCTCCCAGACTGGCCAACGAAGGCGTACACCAGGAGGAGTATTTTTTTTCCTCTTGAAACACAACGATAGTATCACGCCAGAGCAACAAAAGTCAATTTTCGCTGAAGATCGCCAAAGTGTAAATAAGTCTCGCAAACAAATTGAAACATTAATGCGAGATCGTAAGGTAGAGGAGCTAAAGAAATGTCTAAGTAAACAAAGTACCGAAATGCCTTCGTTGAATTCACGCAAGGAACTGTATATGCAAGGAGCTGAATCCAGCGCTGAGAGTCAACCAGGAAATTGTAAGCCTTTTTTTAATAATAAGGAATTTTCGGCAGCCCGTAATTTGTTATTTTTGTTTTCAGTGTCTAATCCGCCACCTTCCCCTGTAGGTCAGGGGCAGTGTAGTCCCGAATATAAGACGCACGAAATAACCATAAATCATGTAGACAATTCGGATATACCATCCACATCAAAAGCTGCTTCGACAGCCGGCCTTAAGGATTTAGTAAGCTATGACGATGATTTTTTGGACGTGAATTGCGGTGAAATGGATTTCTTTTAAACGTGCACAAAGCGTTTTAATATAAATGGTCTATATTGAAAACAATGCTTTGGTTCGAATTTCTAAATCTCCATAGCTAGACTCATATTTGTACATCTAAATAAATGTATAGCAGTTAAGTTTTATAGTAAGATTCTACTTTGACAACACATGCAATCATGTTGTGTTTGTTACAAAGATAAATATGTTGTTAATGTGCTACTTTTCTTTCCTCTGCCACTATATGTAGCTAGTTGCCATGAAAAGTTCGGATATATTAAGTCTCTCTGAAGCAATTGGAATCTGGAAGAAAGGTTTGCCTAAATCCGTTTCATTCAAGAGGCTGCTGGTGTTTAGCAACACTGACTTATTTGGTGGGGCCTAGCTAGTAGAACTCTGAAAATATCGATGGTAGCGCTACTCGATAATTAGCGAATTAAGCTATCGGCTTTAAATTCACAAACTTCAAGGGTTTCGATTTAGTTCCTGATTTGAACCTGCTACTTGTAAAGAGATCTGCATTGGAAAAGATTTAGTCGAAAAACACAGATGTTTTCTAAAAATGATAAAGAAATTAATCCAGTGCCCGATTTTCTATTTTTTTGTTTGTTAAGATAACCCAATTGTGTCTACTTTGCGTAAAATATGGACTCGATCCAAATCTGTAGCAATATACATATGTATGTATGTATATATTTTTTGAATGATGTGAGGGAACTACACAAAAGGATGTACAGGATGGATAAACTTGTATGAATTACATAAGTTATGAAATCACTAATAATGAGAGAGTGCATCAGCAAATACATAAGTTTTATTCTAGTTCCTATACTTTCTGAAATCCTTGTGGCAGGCATAAGGACATATCAAACAATTATTACGAAATGCAAATTGGCTTTTAAAAAAACGACAAAATATTTGAAATGTGGTAGACGTTTCCAAAATTTTACAAAATAAAAATCGAGTATTATAAGGACAAGCATTGGAAACGATATAACATACATATAAATTTAAAAGCTCTTCAACACTGACGGAGGAGTCAGTTGCCACATGGTATAAGGTAAACAAACATATTTGAGCGAAGTGGCAACGCTTTCCAAACACCCAACATCGATGTACATTTTTACATGTTGTGTGGATGGACGCCGCCGCCGCTAATTTTTTTTTATTTGTGGCATTTGTGTTTGACAAAATATGCTAAAAAAGTGCTTAATTGGTTCGCAATTTAGCTACTGATGCTACTCAAATCACACAGTCTGAGTGATTGTAAAGTTTGAACTCGAGCTCATTTCTGTTTGTAATGCGAAAAACCCGCTCGCAAACTCAGGCTGAGAATGCCGCAACTTCTACATCAGGAGGCGCTCGTCAAACATCCACGGCGCCTTCAGCACCAGTAATTCCCTTTGATGCTGTCAAATACAAGGTAAGTAATGTATTATTGTGTCCGCGTAAAGATTTTGGCAATAATAGATAATTTATAGTACTAGTTATTGAAGAGGGGGTGTGAATACATATGTACATCTATCGATACGTTCTCAAATTCAATATCGCAAAGTTATCGATGTTTGTAGTGCCCCAGGAAAGCGGCTGCTGATGCTAAGCAACACTGCACTCCGCCATATTTCCTACAACCTGGCTGGCAAAACAACATTTGTGTGATTAGAAAAAGATATTTCAATGGAATTTTAATTACAATTTTTAATGCAGCTTTCACTCGCTGTTCAATTTAACTTTATTATATAAGTGTAAATAGGCCGCTAGGGTATTGCGGCTACACATATGAAATGCAATTACATACAATGAACGCCACTTTTCGCCAACCAGGTAAAGTTGTGGACATGCGATTTTACATTTACTGACCCTTTCTGCATGCTGTGAGTTGGTAGTTCAATGTGAATAGTTTAGTAAAATCAAACAGTGTTTTTATGGATTGTGTTAAATTGATAGCATAGAACAACTGCTGGGATGCTGCAATGCTTTCTGTAATACATACATATTTACAAATGCCGTCTATCCCTGTGCATAAATGTGTATGCATGTATATATGTTAGTGTGTGCGTGAATACATATGCAAGTACGTAACGTACATACAATGTATGTATTTATATACATACATGCACGTTTATGGGTGCGTGTGCGTTTGGTTTGTACAAGTGGAATGTATCCTGCTTTTCCACAAGTTATAATTTTTTCCATAATCTTTTGATTTCAGGAATGTGAGCAAATGGTGCAGATGCTTCGTGTTGTAGAGCTGCAGAAAATTTTATCATATCTTAATATATCCTTCGCTGGACGAAAAAACGATTTGCAAAGTCGCATATTAACGCTCCTGCGTACAGATTTGGAACAGCTCGCACCTAAGGTTCAGGAAGTTTACGCTCAATCCGTACACGAACAAAACGCCAATCTGCAGTATATAGATCCTACCAGAATGTACTCGCACATGTTACCGTCAGTGCAGCCGAATCCTGCGGCTTTAGTTGGTGGCGCACCCACACAAGTTGCCGCTGGCCCCACACAGATGCCCGTCTCTGTGCCCTTTCTTCATACCCACAGCATTAACAATCAGCTGCCAATTCACCCAGATGTTCGCTTAAAAAAGCTTGCGTTCTACGATGTGCTCGGCACATTAATAAAGCCGTCAACCCTGGTGCCGCGCAACACCCAGCGCGTTCAAGAGGTGCCTTTCTACTTTACGCTTACGCCACAACAGGCAACAGAAATTGCCTCAAATCGGGACATACGCAACAGCTCAAAAGTGGAGCATGCCATTCAGGTGCAACTGCGTTTTTGCCTGGTTGAGACGTCATGCGATCAGGAGGATTGTTTTCCGCCAAATGTTAACGTTAAAGTGAACAACAAATTATGTCAGCTGCCTGTACGTTTGGCTTTAACGATTGTACATTTAACATGGGCCTGTATAAAATACGAATGTATATTTGTTTTTACAGAATGTCATTCCTACAAATCGTCCTAATGTGGAGCCAAAACGTCCGCCACGGCCAGTTAATGTCACCTCAAATGTGAAACTGTCGCCGACCGTGACCAATACCATAATGGTGCAATGGTGTCCAGATTACACGCGCAGTTACTGCCTGGCCGTATATTTGGTAAAGAAACTTACATCTGCGCAATTGCTGCACCGTATGAAGACTAAAGGTGTGAAACCAGCGGACTACACGCGCGGCTTAAGTATGTGTACTAAAAAGAGCACACCTATTTATGAACTCTAATAAACATGCATATGTTTTATTTGCAGTAAAAGAGAAGCTAACGGAGGATGCTGACTGCGAAATAGCAACAACAATGCTTAAGGTATCGCTGAATTGTCCCTTAGGCAAAATGAAAATGTCCCTTCCGTGCCGCGCCTCAACCTGTTCGCACTTGCAATGCTTTGATGCAAGTCTTTACCTGCAAATGAACGAACGCAAGCCCACCTGGAATTGTCCGGTGTGTGATAAACCTGCCATCTATGACAACTTGGTGATCGATGGGTGCGTAGCTTAAACAGCTTACGTGTAGCCACATACCCTTATTAGTTTACATTTGCAGATACTTCCAAGAAGTTTTAGGCTCGTCTTTGCTTAAAAGCGATGACACGGAGATTCAGTTGCACCAAGACGGCTCTTGGAGTACACCAAGTTTGCGCAGCGAAGCACAAGTTTTGGACACTCCCTCAAAGCCAGTGCAGAAAGTTGAAGTTATATCAGATGATGTTGGTAAGCATCCGAATGGCTAAAAAACATATAAAAGCCACTACTAAATGCATTGGCTTGTTATTAACAGAGGTAATCACCACAGATGACACAAAACCAGTTAAAGAAGATCTATCATCAGCAACACAAGAGCAACCAATTACAAGTTCAAACAATGAATTAGTAAGTATGATTGATATACTGAAAAAAAAAGAACACTTGGTTTTAACATTTGCGTTTGCTATGCTGCAGGTTGATCTGACGCTTAGCGATTCGGATGACGACATGCCACTGGCTAAACGTCGTCCTCCTGCCAAACAAGCAGCTGTCAGCTCAACTTCAAATGGTAATGGTGGCACTCAACGCAGTGCTTATCCAATGGTGCAGCAGCCTCAAAAAACTGGTACGTTGGATTCATTTTTTTACTAAGCAAGAACCCTATTTCTGTATAGTGAGAGGTATTGATATGTTTATGAAAAAGCGCTATTGATAAGATTATAAGGAAATTATTTCACATATACACCCATACACACACACACACACTAACACTCACTCAACACATTATTACTATTTCCCAAAGAAAAATCAATTATAGAGCTGTTGAAATGGATGAAATTGTTATTTTTACTCCTGGTACTTGATTTATAAATTTAAACTTTGATTTGTTTTTGAAAATAGGAGGCATTTGATTTCCTTTTATTTTTCAAAGCTCAGTTCTTTGTTGAAAACTACAGAGTTCACACGTAAAAGTAAAACAAATTTAAATTTTAAACAAAAAAAAAATCGGTAGTTTACAAAATTCCCAATCACGATATGAATCTTAACAAGGCTGAGAGTGCTTCCATTGTTGCAGTTGGTCTAATTATGCACCTCAATGGCGTGAGCTTGATCTCAGTCCTGAACCCAAATGCAACCGTCTTGCTGCCAAACTTTGCGTCCGTCTTAGTCACAATCTCTTTTTTGATAATGTTGACACGTTTGCGTCTGGATTGGAACACGGATCCTGTGCAAAACCGCTCTCATCGCATGGGCGCTGTGCTGATCCAAATGTTAATCACGCTTTATGTGTTGGAGCTGCTGATGCTGCATGTCTGGGTGTCTATGCTAAAGCTGCTAAATTTCATATGCGAATATATTAGCCATGTCATATTAGCTGCAAATGATGACTACATAATCTACCATGCGCCGGCATTGGCGAGATGGTTGCGCACCGACGCCTTCTTCTTTGCCCGTTTTCTTTTAAGCTTGGCTATACTGGGAATTGTTTTAAAATCAATGGGCCTCATTTCGCATATAAAGCACTTTTTGCAGTATATTTGTGGTCCCTGCCGTTCTGAAGTAGCTTCACAACTACGTGACAATAAGATGCAGCGCTCTTCTGATTCAAATAATGATATGAAAAATCGGCGGTGTTCTGAAGAACCGATGCGTATGGGTGGTGGTCAAGAAGGTAGAGGTAGCACTCGTACTATATTTATTCAACACGATGGCTTGGCCGAGTACACTTGCTGATATAAATGAGCCTCTAATTGTCCCGCCTTATTTGTGTAATGGAGTGTCACATTTCAAAAGTTATCTTTTTATTCGTAAGGAAAAATAAAAATTTCTTGTAGAAATTCCTTAAATACTAAACAGACATTTGCGATGCGAACACGCATTCACGTCAATTCAAGCTAAAACGATGGTTATTATGTTATGATATACAATTTTATTTTCTGAATAGATCACTTATTATTGAATCATAGTGTAATAACAGATCAATGGCTCGTTATAGTGTGCTGTGCCGGTGCTCTAAAAATTGAATGTATGTGTATGCATTTCTTTGCAGTCTTCCAGCCAATCGGGTAAAGACGCAGGGTCCACGTTGGTGCTAATGTCTGGACTCCATAGTATGTCCGATTTCCGAATTAATAAGAAACTCAAATTAATTAAATATTAAAAAGCCTGTCACTTTTGGTTGTATTTATTTATAAATAGTTTCCGAGTTTTTTTTTTTGTAAGACCAACGTCAACAATATGTCTAAACGAAGCACCAGGAAAATGTATCTATTGTATTAAAATTGGTGATTAATTGCAATAAAATGTAGTCCAGTTTTTAAAGGAATTTTTTATTTTATTTTATATGTTAGTGTCGCTTCTTGCATTACAAGCCCGCCCTCAGAGCTTCCTAAGATGTTTCCTTAGTAAATGTTGTGTGTTTTTAAAGTGAAAACTTTTAAAGGCGTGTTTTTGCTGAGTAATTAAAGACGATGAACCGTCCTGGTCGGTCGGCTGAGCCGGCCTAACTCTATTCCACTCATCAAACGCGCTCCAATTTCTGAATTCATTATCTTTGCATGTTTGAAAATAACATAAAAGCAGTCTTATTCTCAAAAGTTGAGAGCATAAGCGTTCGTAAAAGCAAAAAGCCGCCACTAATGCACGGTATTGAAACTAAGACGAACAATGCAAGCACTTCAGATAGCCATATAAATTGAGCTTGCTTTGCTTATTAAAAAAACAGAGGGTGTGTTCTTTTGGCCACACCATAGAAGTGAAAACATTTTTCCAAGCTTAAATGCATGTATGTATATTTAATTAAATTTATAAAAGTAGGATTATTTAAATCAACAATAAATTAATGTTGATATTGACTATTTATTTACTTTAGCCGTGAAGTAATATTAATTGCAAAATAAGCCAAAATATTTTTGAATTAATTATATTCTAGAATTTTGCCCTTCATTGCAGTTTTTTACGGTATCTTCTCGAACATTTTCTGGCAAGTTTGCTTTCTTAATTTGTTGTTCTTTATCTTTTTCATTTTATCGATCACGTGCTCGTTTCTAGCCAGGGTATCCAATTGTTCAAAGTTTCCCTTTGTGTTCCCATTCATCATTAAATTTGTTTCTTTTATCAATTTGCTCTAAAAAGCAATGTTTCATTAATTATACATTCTTCAACATATATTCTCATGAGTATCAACGAATTAAATGTCAACTAGTTTATTTATTAAAAATATTACAGGGGTTCCCGCTTAATTGAACTTCCCGGTTCATTGATTTTGAGCAGTTGGTTTTCCCGCTTAATTCACTCCAATTTTCGGAATAGCAAAGAAATTTAAATGAAAAAGTCCCTTTTAATTGAACAACTTATTTGTTCAAAAAAGCTACTTCGGATGTATTAAATTTTTCATAATTAACATTTTTATACAACTTACATGGCGAAAAATTCGTGAAAATTTTCACAATATTAATAATTGAACACGAAATGGTGCTCCTCGTTTTCTTTACAAATAATCAATACTATTGTGCATTGATCTTTGGTTTTTGCGGTCACCAACGCTTTAATTGTATTGCTTTGTTGTCGTTTTCCAACAAACAAAGACTATTTATTCATTTTATTGAAGTGAAAACTTCTTTAGGCGCGGTTTTGCTGAGGCCGACGCATATGAGAAAACCATTTTTTATAAATCTTTATTTAGTGTTTGTTAAAATAAACAAAGAAAGTTTTTAAAATTTCTTTTATATTGTCGTTAATCTCTTATCCTATTCAACCAAAAAATTCAAGTTCATCAGAATTAATTCAGCTGATCAATTAAAAAGGATTTTTTTTATAAAAGTTTATTCGATAATCAGAAATGTTGACTGAATTAGGAAGACCAATTTGATAAATAATTTAGAATACGTAAATTAATTGACATTTAATTCGTACATATTCATGAGAATATATGTTGAAGGATGTACAATTAATAAAACATTGCCTTTTAGAGAAAATGGATGAAAGAAACAAATCTACCGATGAAAGGGAACACAGAAGGAAACTGGCTAATGCACGTATGCAGAAATATCGTGAAAGAAAAAAACGAAAAGACCTAGAACAATTGGATTCTCTGGTCATAAATGAGCCTGTGTCGGATGAAATGAAAAGATTAGAAAAACAACAAATTGAAGAAGTAAACCGGCAACGAAAAGAACTTGCCAGAGAATGTTCAAGAAGATATAGTGAAAGAAAACGTATCAAAGCTCTGAAAACTATTGATAATAAATGAACTTGTATCTCCAGTATTTAAAGCATATTTTAGATTTCAAATGCCTATTGTTTCATTCTTAGAATATAATTGCAATGAAGAAGTCCAAACTGAGCAATTTTTTACAATATAATTAATTCGCAAATATTGTTTATTTTGAACTTATATTATTTTAAAGATAAGAATAAAAATTAATTTTACATAACAATATCAATATTAATTTGTTGTTGATTTAAATATTTCTTATTTTATAAATATACATATATTTAAACTTGGAAAAATGTTTGCACTCCTATCGTGTAGTCATAGGTGCGCAACATTTTTTGTATGTGCTATACATTTTCATTTTATATATAAAATATGCTTCTACACATATACATATATATATAGAAAAATTTGTAGTAACTTGTTGATTTGTTTTTCTCTCTCTCTCTCTATACTTTGTCTTTGTGCCGCCGCCGATGTGCGTTATCGCAACAAAGAACCCCCCGAGCAGCAATCACCACAGTCGCAGCCAGCATTAGAAATGCAGCAGCAGCAGCAGCAACAACACCAACAATTGTTAAGCGATCAACCAGCAGTGCATGCCAGCTTACTGGAATCCCTGGCTGCCGCGGTTGCCGATCAAAAGCATTTTCAACTTTTGGATCTGGCTGCAGTGGCGGCTGCTGCTGCTGCAACAGCAACTGCACAGAATCCTAATGCCCAATAGTGATGGGGCTGCGTTGCAGACAGCGTTGTAAACAAAACAGTAAATTCGCAAGACGAACACAACCACAACCAAAAACAGACAAGCCTACACCACACCCAAATAGAAAGCAACATTATTCTTTGATTAATATTCTTTCGATTTTCGTTTTCCACTCATATCGAACATTTTGATTTTTCTTCGGTACCTATGTAGTTGTTTTGTTGCGGTCTTTGTTAAGGTTAACTTTGGTTTTGCCCAAATTGCAAAAATTCAACATCGGCTTAAATTTGCTGGCATTATATACTGCTTACCTTATCTTAATGCGCTTTCAGAGGCTATTCCCATTTGTCATTGATTCAGGCTAAGTACATACCTAGCATTTAGCATCTGCATAACTCATCCGCCCAGTTTTTAGAATTTTGAAACTCATTATTCAATTTTTCAAGTTCACGTTATTCGTTTTTGTATGTTACAGGGCGCACTTAATAAGGCGCTTTCCTTGCAGTCTGTCGTTTTTGCTTGCGCATTGCCTTTAAGAACTCCTCCCAAGTTTTCCCGGCCGCTGTTGACTCTGGTACACCGAATACATGATTTAGGTATATGTATTGAAGAGATCCTAACACTTATTTATTCTATGTTTGTCTTCGTATTGAAGAATTTACGCTTTTAGCTAAATTTTTACTTATTAATTTATCTATATTTTGATGTATGGCGCGAACGGTCATCATATACAATAAACAAATAGGAGCCCTATGAATAACACAATAGTACATAAAGACTAGTTGGAAACAAACATAAATAAAATGCTAGTATTTAAGTATCTACCATAACTACATATATGAAATAAAAACAAAAGGACAGCATCGACTTTAAGTTAAATAATCAATAAATTAGCCGTTAAGTTCATTGCATTGGAATGTAGATATGCATTCGGGCTTAATTTTCAATATTCGATTATAATAAAAAACACATAGCATTACATTAAAAAGAACAATTTATTTCAGTTTTATGATTATATTATGGTTCCAAATATGTATGTATGTCATTTTATTAAAGACACAAACTGACGAAACAAACAAATTACATTTAATATACACATAAATTATAAATAAAGCAAAAAGTATCGTATATACTAAAACTCTATGATCTTTAAATATTGACATCTATAATTATTCATTTAGGAAAAGAGAAAACGCTGGAAAGTTATTTTAAGGTGTTGCCACGAGACAAATCCTTATAATCCTTATATCATCTTGAAACAGCTGCATGTTTTACTAAATCGTGTATATTCCACCCATAATGGCACGAGTAGATCACCCCAAATACTATACAAATATTATTACGAAGAAATTCAAAACTGGAAGATCCCGCAACATAATTTTTTATGGTTGTTTCGCTTTGTTGAAATGGGAATTTAAATTACGCAGGGAAACATAAAACAGCAATAAAAAAATAAATCAATTATAAAAATATATGAATTTTTTTTATAAAGCCGAAATGTTAACGATGAATTAAATAATTTTGTTTTAAATTTGAATGGCATGTTGTTTTATTGAAGACGTGTAGAAGAATTAACTTTTGTTTGCATAAACATTTATACCAAAAGCTTTAGTTAAATAAATATCATTTGCTTTTTTATTTTACAATGAACGCATTTTTTTCTTTCAGATCCCGACACAACAAAAATAGATGTTTCGGTTATTGAACTATCAGATTCGCCATAAGATTTTCAGCGTCCAGAATGGACTTCAAATTTTACTTGTATTTAAAGACGCCAAACATCCAAAGATTTGTATTATTATTGGGTGTTGACCGTAATTATTTTTACGTTTCTATACCTTAAAATATTCTATTAAATATTATATGATGAACTTATTTTTAAGTCATAATTTATCATGACAAGTATCAATAAACGCTTTTTACTTACATATAACATATTAAAAGAAGGAACATTATTAAAAAGCCGTTGCGAATACGGGTAAAATAAACAACTGCTTGGGCGTTGCCGTATGCACTTGCTAGTGGCAATTTGTCATTTCGAATGTTTGGCAACACTGCAACACTAGTGGCTATGTTTTATACCAACATCTTATAGATGACCGAACAAAATGTCATAAAAGCCTTTTTCATATTAGTAGTAGTTATTGTTAGTTGATTATCAATTATGGTATTAAATTTTCTACGTCCACCACAAGGTGAAACTTTAATACGCTGAATGTTTTGTGTGCTAAAAAGAATAAACATAATAGAAAAATTTTTTTTTTGTAGGGAACGGCTATCCTAATATTAAAATTCGAATTTCTGTGTTACAAATGGTGTAGCCGTATTTTGCGAAGTTTTTTCAGTCACACTGTAGAGTTTCTGGAAACAGCTGTTCGAAAAAATATATTACAAATCAAATCATCAATCATGGAAAAAATATGTAATTTGGCAGCCTCTTTAGATTTGATTACAATCAAAAAACAAAGTTTACTTGAGCCTTTCTACTTTTAGCCCTTTTTAAATAGGCGGTCAGACAACATACATACATAGCTAAAAATTTAAAACGATTTGAGTTAATTATAAAAGAACTTTTCCCTAGGTACGCGTTAATTGTTATTTCAGGCGTCCAAAAACGTTGTTCAACTCATACGAATATACCCATGATTTTGTTCTGTTAAAAATCTCCTCATTTTTGATATTAGGTCCCAACATACGTAAATATACGACATAAAAGTCGAACCATGCTAGTTTGAATACGCGAATATCCATCTTCTACATTTTCTTTATGGGTATCTTAAGTTCACCGATGGGCTGACATACATACATACATATATGAATAAGCTGCTGTAGGACTGTAAACATGAATGAAAAGGTCGGAGCAGGCTTGGATAGTGTCTTGAATAACCGCATTCAAATCGAAGACTAATATTTAAATTGCAAACATTGGCAAATACAATTACTGATTACGAATTTATTGATATTTGAATTGTTCTTTGTTATGCTAAATTGGTTTTAAATTCTCACTAAGCTTATTTACGTTATGTCTTTTGATTTGGAAGTCAAATATTTTTGTGGGGCATACATAATTGCTATAATTACTAAATATTTTTGATTATCTCTTATTTACAATACCCTCTTTCATGGACTTAAGCGGGTTACACAACTCAACTACTATACATAAATTTAAAAAATGAATTGAAATATCATTACCGAGTTGCATTTATATGCCTAGCTATTTACAACAGCACGATCCTATTCACACTTATTTGGTATATTTTCGAGCGGAAGCGTTTGCTGTTGCCTAATCGAAAGTGGTCCAGTTGTTCATGCCCTTACCCGCCACCAGCGGTGCGGTATTATTCGTTGTCGTTGGCGATCCAGTTGTGGTGTTTAGTGAAAACTGATCGAGTCCGTATTTTCGCAGTAATTCGAAATCATCATCAGTTCCAGATGCAGAACTTCTCTGAATCTGTGGCGGCAAGCTGGTGGGCAATGGGGGTGCCCGACTGGTTACGGCAGCAACAGTGGCCTTGTGTTTTGGTGCAAAATAGGGATATAGGGGATTATGGATGCTGTTCGCCATTGGAGATATATCTGCAGTTGATTGGACAATACTGCTACTGACACCTGCGGGCAAGGTGGTTGACTTTTTGTTGTGTAGTTTGTTGAGGGAAGGCAAAGGGCGTGCATTCTGATTGAGCGGATCAAAATCTTCCAGATCGAAGCTGGTGTTATTGCTATCGTCCAGCGATATAAGATCATTCATACTGTCCTCCTGCGGGGTGCTGTTCGGTTGAAGAGAGCGTGGCGACTGCGGGGTTTGGAAAAGGAAAAGCGATTTCTTAGTGGGTATTCCTGGTCGTCAATACTAATTGTGGTTTAGCTACAGTTAGTTGGGAGTTGCAAGGGTGTTAGTACATTTAAGCACAAAGAACAAATAAAACTACACATGGACAAACGAATAAGAACTGAAGATATCGTACGATTTGTGTGAAAGAGGTGGTTAGTACATATGTGTAATGGAGTGGGGGACCATAACCATGAGACGAAATGGACTTAGTAACTAGATTCGCTTGCGTAAGCGTTGTGGCGGTTGTACCTCTCGTTTGACCCTGCGCTTTGGTACTGGTGCAGGTCCTGTGCCTATCGGTGACGAAATGTTTAGTTGCGACAATCTTGAGGCAGCCGTCATAAATGAAGCTGCAGACGAGCACGACGATGAATTTGATACGGACGCATTAGACGAACTGGAGCTGCGTAGCGAGTCTGTATGCTTCTGCTCCATAGTCGGTCCACATTCCTGCCAACAATTACGCTCGAGACGACTAATGCCTGCGCTGACGGCTGCTGCAGTGGCCGCCACTACAGCATTGGCGCTACATTGTCGTCTAGGCGGGATGGGCGGTGATTGGACATCCGGTGGACTATCGAAGCTCGAGTCAGTCGTGGTCAGCAAACGGTGCTTGTGCGGGGTCGAGGTGTGCGAAGGTGTCGAGTTTGTAGCTCCATTTGAATGTCGTGGCGGCTTGCTCTCCACGTTCGGATGTGTGGCACTTGAGCTATACGGGTGGTTGTAATACGAGACTGGTGGCGTTGGCTGCTTAGGTGTGCCACCTGCAGGTGCTGGTAGCGTGGGCGGTGGCGGTCGTGCAGGGGGCGTGTTAGTGCTGTTGCTGCTGCTGCTGACCATTGATCGTTGACGTGGATTGTGGATGGTCTCAGAGGTTGGCTTCAGCTGCGTTGCGTTTATTGCGAATGTTGCATTGGAGTGACGAGGTTGTTGGTGGCGTGTAAGGGTGTATGTGTGTGTATGGTATGGAGTGGTGTAGTTTGCGAATTTCGAAATGAGCAGACAAGCGAGTTGTGCATTTGCATTCAAGTATGGACGGGCAGACAGACATGACGACAGACACACGGAACAACAACAACACAAACACAAAACATGTAAAAGGCGCATGAAAAGAACATACAATTTGAATTACAATTACATTTAAAATGAAGCGTATCAAGCCTGAGGTGCTACACCACTCAAACAGCCCCTTCCTCAGTGGGGGATGAAGTAAAGCAATCCTCCCTAACGCACAGTGGTTCACAGTCTCTAAGACAACTTAAAAGTGGATATACGTTGCTTAAAACAATTGTCTTTGCTAAGACAATTCAATCTTTTCTGTTATCGACCCTTCATTCTAATACTTAACAATTTATAGTTCATGCATGCATGAAAACATTGACAATTTTTTAAGATTCAATAAACATAGATTATTTGCTAGATTAATAGAAAGGGATAAATAAATTTGTATTCTTTATAATAAGACTATTAATAGGCTACTTGTGTAACATCTTACTATCACAGGGGATAACGCGTATATACAATATAAGAATATTAGAATTTTGTTGTTCATAATAAATATCCGTCTATTTTATTTTCAAAAGCGTCCTTTTCAAGAGGCTGGACCACTGTGAAGAGTGTGTGAGTGATGTTGCAAGCAATAGAAACAACATATGGGAACTATGTGGGCACACAATAAATGTAAACGCAACGCGGCTCACGACACTAAAATCGCCGCCGTCTTTCGGTTGCACGCCCACTAGACCTAATCCTACTTACGCTGCGGTCCACGGCGGGTGTTTTGAACAGCGGATGGTTCTGCAGCTCCTGCGACAGATTCATCTCCGATGAGCAGACCGAGCTTGCCGAGCTAACAGCAGGAGACGCAGCCAAATGGTGACCAAAATGAGCAGGAGCGTGCGCACCGTGCGCAAAACCATTCGGCTGAATGTGGCTGCTCGAGCTAGACATGGCCAGCGGCACGGGACCACGTCTTTGCGCCTGACTACTTCCGGTGCCACCATTTAAAGTCTCTAAATTGCTGGCGGCTAATGTATGCCGTTTGCTAAATACCGGCGAACTGGGAGCCGAATGATGCGAGGCGCCAATGTTTTTCCCGTTCCGTGCGTATCCAGAACTGGCACCGTCCGGTCGATCTGAATGTTGGGGCGAGCCCAAGCCAAAATGAAAGTGTGTGGGGGTGTTCTCGCGGAATTTCGATTTCAAATCTTTATAGGCAGTCTTCATGCCACGTGAGCTCTCCTTGACCTTTATATGAGGGGGGGGGCGGAGTGTGGAAGCAGAGGTTAGTCATTTGGCTAGCTTATTGTAAACGACAGCAAACAATGTACAGAAATAATGGCAGTAAACTATATTATGGTGCTACATACGGACGAGATATATCTTTGAATTCGGATAGGAAAGCACAGAAAAATATATATAACAAGAATTTTCATTCTGATATACATAAATTCATTAATAAACTAAATGTTATGTTCTAAGTAACGGCTTTTCTATCCGATTCGTACGATATGGACATACAAATGTAATTGTCAAGAGCCACTCACCGATTTGACAGCAGACTTAACAGCTGGATTAGTCTGCAAAAGTTAGGCGCATGTTTGTATTATATATTAAGACGATTTGAAGAAACAACCACAGAAGAAGGAAGAAGCGCAGCGAATTGGTTGTTGTTGTTCATTTGTTGCATTTGCATGATCCAAGCAAAGTTAGATGTGCATACGACAGATAGAAGCGCAAGCGGACGCACGAAATATGAAAGAAATACGACAGACAATATGGAAATGTGAGCACACACATAAGTACTATGCATACATACATACATAAGAGTACATATGCAGATCAGTATGTAAAATAAGGCATTTGTATGAATCTGAATTGAGCGAGCTATAGTTGTTAGTGGTAATGATAAATCTGATAAGTCGGCATTAGCGCATTGATGCATGTAATGATGATATACGAATTAATGGAGTTTAAATGAATATGGCCTTAAATTATAGTTGTAATAGTGTAGAGCGTGTTTATGTTATTTATGCCTTGTTCCGACCAAAACAGAATTTCGTTAAAATATTTATCACATGAAGAAGGCATAAATATTGTAAAGTCTTTGGTGCAAAGTTTGTTGGGTTTACTAAAATGGATTGAATATTTCATCCATGGTCTTTGTTATATTATAATACAGTGCTCTAACTATAACATTGAATTAATATCTATTATAGAATCTACACAAAAAAAGGGGGATTAATTAGCTGGTGCAGTTGTATGTTAAATTGTTTGCAAAAAAATCAATTGACTAACATTGTGGAGAAGTGTTTCATTTGTGTGAGGAATTTACATTCTACTTTGGATGGTTGACGTGGTATTGAGTCTAAATATAGTTTCGGGCAAACACTCGCGAAACACTGCGCTTTCCCAAATAATACTGCAAAATAAATTAAATTAGAGAATATAAACAAAGTTTCAAAATTATAAATACGTATTACACAAATTATAAAGAACTTATTGTAGGAGGCAGAAGTTGCAGCTGCGGCAGCGCACGGCAATTGAAGGCTACTTAACATAAGTAACAGAGCACACAAATAATTTGAGTATTTTGACAAACTTAGGAGACGGAAGGAACATATCGTTAAAGCTCTTGTAAGTCCTACGCACGATCTTTTGACTCTTTTAACTACGGTAGCATGTGTGAAGCAACTATTTAAGTGACGTTCCCTAGGAACTGAAAGTAAAGGTACCTTTTATGTTACCATTTCCTTAAAGCTTACCGGAGTCTAAAAGAAAGACTTGTATGGTTATAAATAATATGAATGTATATGATTTGTTTTAACTGCCGTTTGATTTACAGAGATCTGAAGAATGTCAAAATACTTCCATCGACAAGTATGAAGCGAGTTTTCCCAATAAAATGTGCATGGATATGTCGATCAGTTGGTAGATGCATAACATAACTTTATAAAGAACGATAGATTGCATTTTACATAAACAAACTAACTACATTTAAGTAAGCAAAGAGCAAAATTATTTGCTTCCGGCAATTACTTGAATGATGAACCATTAGATGCTCTGAAGAAATTTGTGAAGCGTTAAAGAACTATACACGACGAAGCAGCACTTGCCATTACCAAGAATATTGTACAACTTATGAGTGAAACGGCTTGTTTTTGTAAAAAGCTTGGGGCGCGCTTTGATGGCATGGAATTAGGGAATGTTGCAAAGCAAAAGGGCAATATTTGAATCTTTCTCAGTCTCACCTTGTCTTTTACATTCTTTAAGAAGGCATAATTACGGCCGCGTTTCTTCATTTTATCCGCATAGCGCGCAATCTCCTTTTCAAACTCATCGGAGAAGCTTAAACCACTATTGAGCATTTTGAGGCGATCATCGACGAATTGTGCAAAGATTTGCAGCTCCATCATTTTTGCAAGGAAGGGGCGAAGGTGCGTAGGTCGAGATTCAATGAATTTGTCGCGATTAAATGTGTTGTTGTGGAACTCAACGGCATCGCGATAGCCGCCAATAAGCTGAACCAAAGCACCCAGAAAAATTTTCGAAACCCTATCGCCAATATGGACCTGTGCCGGACTGAGATACTTCTTAAGCTGTGAGACTATTTCCGGTGGAAGATCGTGCACATCGTCAAAAGGACTTTCGAATGTTTTTATATCACAGTCTAGGATCACAACCTCACCGAGCTCATCGGTGGAAACCTGCGCAAAGATAGTAGCATTATTATTTGTTATGTCCTGAACGAGAAATATTTTGCATTTACAGTTTCGAGCACCGCTTTGGGCACACCAATTAAATATGGCATAGGCGCACCCAAGTAATCTTTGAACTCCATTGGAAGCACAGGAATGAAAATGTGCTGCCACACCATGGGATATAGAAATGCACTTGCTGCTTGAATGCACGAGGATAGTCGATCCAAATGCCGCGAGGTGAATACAATTCGACGCTCAGCCAGCATCGCGGCAAAAACACAAATCATCTCCTTGGCATCGACAAAATTGTAGTAGAGATTTAAGTTGTGCTGCAATACAAAAAATCGGCATCTGTAGATAAATCTATAGTGGCGACGACATACGGATTTGTAGACTTACATTTTCCGGTATGCTGGGCAACTGGAACTGCAGCGGACGCTCGAATATGAAATGCTGTTAAAGTAAAGCCGCATTTAATTGTACATTTCAAACATGAACATTGACGAACTTACATTTTGTCCACTATTATAGAAAACTGTCAGACTGCCTCCTAAGTCTGGCACACCACGATTATAGGCCTCCGACAGAAAGCTGCGAAATCCATCGCGATCTGTGCGCCGCAGCTCTGCCAGCACGGGCAATAACTTTAGGAAAGTATCATGCCATGGTAAATATGTTATTAAAACCATGGCTGTTTGTGTCTTGGGATCGTGCCGACAGAACCCAAACCGCCATTTGGAATCGCTGGTAGTGTGGACAAATGAGTAGGACTGAACCGCATCGCTGTGGAAAGTAGTAATTGAACAGCATATTAATACAGATTGACATTATTATTGTTTTTATGTTCCACGATTACTACTCTATCTAAATATATGTACCTCCCATTAAGTTGGTAATAATAGTTAAATAAATCAATTCATGTGCCTGCAAATATTGTTAACGCATTACATCGAACAATGTTATAGCACAGACGCTTTAAGCGATGTAGTTAAAAAATATATAAAGAAATAAGTGAAGTATTCCCGAATTGTTGAAACTTTTAAAACGTTTATTTGTCACATTATCGCTTTCCAAATGACACGAATATTTATTTAATAAACGCTTCGAAAACCACTAATATGTTAGGTAAATATGTAGATGTTTTGGAAAATTCGTGTGTTTTCCTATACTTATGCAAGTGTTCGTCTCAATATCCACTGACTAATTAAATACTTGTTTGTGACCTTGAAAGCAGCATAAGCATGTCCATCCGCTGAGTTTCTTCCGAAATGCATGAGCAACTTATGGGCTTCACAAAAAGCGATCATGTAACCCACTGACCAAACAAAACTACATATTTGGAGTGACTAACACTCTTCATTCAGCGAAGTGTTTTCAACATACGAGGTCACCGCATTTCACACAAATAAGCTGTTGGTTGTTATATTTCTCACAGGTAAGTTTGATATCTAATACGAGTATGAGTGATTGAAAATTGTCCGTCAAATATACCATAAAAGGTCCAAAATGGAGAAATCATTCTGATAAAATGCTTACAATTTAAAAGTCACAGCAATATATCGTGAACTTTATCAACGAGCGGTTTTGGGCGTAGCCGTGATCAACGCAAAAAAAAGCTCGGAGAGAGGGCTGGTTAATTACTAAACGATAACCACAAAGTTCGATCTGTATACATATAGTAGAAAGTAAAACAATTATACTGTAAATCCGAGAATTGAGAGTTGTAATGGATCGCTCGAATATTTATACGAATTCAGCAAGTTTGTTAATATATCGGATTTTTATGAAACAGCCTACGTATTCCACTTCTTCATTTTCCTCTTAACCCAAATAAAACCAATTTTGCAAACACAACAACAACATACAGCGACCAACACTAAACAAAAAAAAAAATAATAATAACGAAGCCGCCGCAACAACAATCGACTTATACATACATATATGACGTTAAACTAAATTCAAGCGGCTAAAGCTAATTATAAAAACATACAAACATTTGAATTTTGATTATAGCCGCTCGCGGCATACGCTGTTCCCATACCAAATATAAAATAGCAATGCTTTTGTATATACTCGTATATATGAATTCTACTCTGCTGGCTCAAAGTAAGCAACTAACGCAATTGAAACAAAGTACAATTTGCAATAATAGTATTTAAATATTGGAAAATGTCACGTTTCATTTGAATGTGGACTTGTACCCTCTATTCAAAGTAGAAGCGACATTAATACTTTCGTGTATACTCATGTATATATAGTATGTATTGTGCCCATCCATCAACAAAAATTGCTCTTTTCCAGCTTTCTTATTGTCTCTTATAAGGCATTACGTAAAGCCGTTGGATGTGCGATAAAGTGTTTCGCTTCGCTTTGATTATTTAATGAAATATGCATGCGGGGAAACGAACAAAATTAACACTTACAACCAAATCGGGGACTGACCAACATGCATGCCTTGCAGCCCCATATGCGGGCATTGACTAGGAAGTGGGTCTATCAGCCTGGTGCGTTGACTTTTGCTCGAGCGTATGTTTGTTTGTGTCGATAACTCGAAGCGATTTAATTACAACGACAACAGCCGCCAATTGTCGCAATGTGCATTAAATATGCAGCTTTAATAATATAATTCAATGTCAATTGACGCGCTAATATCGGTATACATATGTCGTAATTATCTTTGGCCAGTCAAAACTGAAAAAAAGATTCGCGATGGGCATGCTCGTAGTTCAATACTAGTAGCTTGGTTTCTTTTTTCCAAATGTTATCAGTTGGGGAGCATATTATGTGTAGTTGTAATAGACAATGAGCTCATCTACGTTGTATAGCCATATTGTAGACAACAAGCAGACCCTATCGCTGTTTAAAGGTCCATCTATTGACTGCAGAAGCAAAGCCAAATTGAAACAAGCAATATAAACAAGCTGCGGAGCAGAGAAGATAAGCCAAAAGTCAGACTAAATATTTTCAGCATGAGTAATTTTGGCGTGCAGAGTAATTACCCTAAAATTGATACAGTTTCATACAAGAGGCAACTAAACACATGTTCAGGTCACATGTACATACATACATATGTATGTGTATATACACGTTACTGCCGCAAAAGTTCGAAAATAAATTGCTTTTCGGGAAAGGCAAGCAAAATACACACGCATAATATGTAAACAAATGGAGTAAAACAAAAAAAAACAACAACAGGTTATACAATTCATGGACGAACTCAAGTGGTTCAACATGATGGAATGAATCATCAGCCATTCAACCGGTAGTGCCCAATAACTCGAACATCAAACGGTTGTTGGTGTTGTCATTGTTGCGATAGGATTTTCTTCTATTTGCTACTATGATGGCAAAGTCGCCAATGGGTCTTGTGCAAACAGCACCTGATATTGTATACTAATGCGTGCATACACATACATATGTATAAATATACATATGTATGTATATGCATTCATACGTTGGCATGCGTGTGTGTGTTTGTGACTATTCTGCAAATAGTGAAGGCGAAGTGCTCTAACCAATGAATGACGGCAGCCTAACGCTGAATAACCGGAAACGAGTACATACATATGTATGTATGGTGTACATACATTTAAGTCTTTATGTATAAATTCGCGTGGGAGTGTTGCAAATCCTTAAATAGATAACTAAAAGCACGTACCTTTCCAAATCGCAGGGGAACGCAAATGCTGGGATGCCTGTGAGCACCTCTTTGTCGCAGAAGCTTTCCGGAAATCGCTCCACAATAAGGCGCGTGGGCGTAATTTCGCACCAAAACTCGAAGAGTTTTTTGACGTCGTTTCTAACAATGACAACAAGTGATAGTCATACAAATTAATATACAGCTGATGTATTGTAGAAAAGTTTATGTCTGCTGTTAAAGGGTGAACTTCACTGATGGGCAGGTGTACCCATGCGAAACGCCCCCACTTTAGAGGGGCCCACAAGCGCAAGCAACAATACTTACTTAATACGCGACCCCATTTGGATGCGTTAATTTTTAGCACATGTTTCAATCTATTCAATTTGTGTTAAATTTGTTATTTTCATACTGATTTGTAGAATCACTCTACTAGACAGACTCTGCTTTGTTATTGCCGTTGTACGTAATTGGTCGAATTCGCGACGTCATTAACTTGAATCATTGCATTGTGATTGTATTTTTCACAGACTGGCTGTTCCGTTCGTTTTTTGCACAGATCTTTCCGCGTTATTTTAGCCACTGCACTTTTAATATTAGGTTTAATTATAGCTCCACGATTAAATGATTCACTAGGCTCATTTATTTTTGTGCATAACAGAAGAAATAAAAAAAATACACCTTTTTTACAAATTCAACTTAACGCAGAACAACCTGGCAAACGAAGCGACCAAATGCGAGTGATGCAAGATTCGCGATAGTCAACGCCGTATCGAAACGAACAGCTGTTGTTTGTTAAGTATTTTAATACCGAATGAAATGTAAAATAAAATTTGTTGTAATTTCAAAATACAGCCAAGTAATTCAGTGTTTATGTTTTATTATATTTGATAGATCTTCAAATATAGGCATTCGCATTTAAAACTTTGAGACAACAACAAAAATGGAATTGAGTAAAGTAGCGTATGTAGTATCGATATATTTGGCGGGCGCAAGTGAACAGCAGCTGATTACATTAGTGTAGCGTCCTTCGAGAAGACCAGTTTGTTTGGCTTTGTGTTCTGCTTTATACTCAATCTTATTTAAATGGAATAAGAAAGTGTAGCTGTGTGTGTGTGTATTTACATTTTTCGTGGTTGTAATATTGTGCTTGCAACTCAAGTTCCTACTAACAGCTCTGCAAACCGCGATATAGGACATACAAATCTTATCTCACCTCTCTTATTTTAAGGCTTTTAACATTGTTAAATTATAATATTTGGTACTAAAGACTGAATTGCTGTGCAACGTAAGAAGGCAAGTCAATCAATATTATTCATGTGTTCGTCACACTTGGCACGTAATTGTAGCAGAGGGGCGACCGAAGCAATACCCACTAAAATAGCCGCTTCCATACATTAGTTTGCGTGCTTTGCACTACCAGTCACATATCTACAGACATACACACACACACACACTCACTCATTTACACCCACCTACTAGCCGCCTACTGTTGGGTATTGATTGTTTTTGCACGTGATATTGAAACAAAGCAAATAATATATGCAATGGCGCAATGCAGCCCAAAAGAATGCTATGCCTAATTTACAACGATCCAATGGATTTCACTATAACGGACAATAATATGGGCCGTGACATTTGAATCGTCGTTCCTCCCTTTCTTACTGTAACCTAAAGTTCATGTCAGTTTAACAAAATTATCTAAATTTAAAATTTTTAATTTACGTTATTTTTTTAAGGTAAGACGTTATGCAATGCTATAAATTGGTAGAGCCGGACATTCGCTGTAGTAAACAAATTTATAACACTAGTGATAAGCCATAGTTTTGTGATTTATCAAAAAGTGAAACCAAACATTGTCTTAGCTTAGCCATGTTTTGGGCGCTTGTGCCTGGCCAGGTCAAGTTGGCTGTTTACCATATAGCCATCCCAAAGCTGACTCCCGACTTGCTCTGTCTAAGTCGCAAGAACGCGAAGATAATGGCTGTGGCGCGTCTAGCGCTTAGTCATGACAGCAGAAACCGTCTACTGTTGCAGCAAAGCTTGCCCCAGTCAGACAAAGAACAACAACACCGGCAACAACAATATTTACTGTGAGTGAGATGATAAACCCTTAAACAATGTATATATACTTCTTCGTTATCAACGTCTGCCTAATGCGTCCGGATTCGAAAGAGATAGCTCCTCTTCAGGGCACTGGACAGGCCGGCCACACTTTCGCACGCTTAGGCAATTAACTCAGTCATGCACACACATATGTACGAGTATATTTGTAGTATATTAATGTGTGGTGTGCGATAAGATACGCGTATATTTATATATAGCCAGTACGGGGCTATAAAGAAACTAGAGGCGGTTTCATTGAATAATTGCACGGTTGATTTTCTAATCTTCAGTGTTTTGGCTATTTTTTAATTTCAGCAGCTCCCAGGTTCAAAGTTCAAAATTTACTGTGAGACATTTGCACACCCCATACGCGGAGCCACTTAAAATGTTTTACTCCATGTACGCTTACCTGTCGAATCTGCCGCGATTGCATGTGTTGGGTTTCGCAATTCTAGCGTATGTCATCTATTACCTCATACAGGTTGTCAAGGTGAGCAATTATTTGCAATTTTCTCGGTATTCCTATTTTTGAAAAAAAAAATGTTTATTGTATTTCAGCGTCCGATTATTGCCTGCGCCGATGGACCCTTCAAACAATATCTCATTAAGAAAGTGCCAACGCTGGAGAACAAGTACTGGCCAACATTCTGGTGCGTTGAGAGTCGGGCCCAGACGGTGCTGGCAAGTCTGCTCCGCTCAAAGACATTGCCGCGCATGAATTACCGCAGGGAAATTCTGAGTCTAAAGGATGGCGGCGAAGTGGCCCTGGACTGGATGGAGGAGGGCTGTGATAAGCAGACTGCGCCCTGCATTATAATATTGCCTGGATTGACAGGTGAATCACAAGCGGAGTATATAAAGTGTCGATAACCACAAAGTTCGATCTGTATACATATAGTAGAAAGTAAAACAATTATACTGTAAATCCGAGAATTGAGAGTTGTAATGGATCGCTCGAATATTTATACGAATTCAGCAAGTTTGTTAATATATCGGATTTTTATGAAACAGCCTACGTATTCCACTTCTTCATTTTCCTCTTAACCCAAATAAAACCAATTTTGCAAACACAACAACAACATACAGCGACCAACACTAAACAAAAAAAAAAATAATAATAACGAAGCCGCCGCAACAACAATCGACTTATACATACATATATGACGTTAAACTAAATTCAAGCGGCTAAAGCTAATTATAAAAACATACAAACATTTGAATTTTGATTATAGCCGCTCGCGGCATACGCTGTTCCCATACCAAATATAAAATAGCAATGCTTTTGTATATACTCGTATATATGAATTCTACTCTGCTGGCTCAAAGTAAGCAACTAACGCAATTGAAACAAAGTACAATTTGCAATAATAGTATTTAAATATTGGAAAATGTCACGTTTCATTTGAATGTGGACTTGTACCCTCTATTCAAAGTAGAAGCGACATTAATACTTTCGTGTATACTCATGTATATATAGTATGTATTGTGCCCATCCATCAACAAAAATTGCTCTTTTCCAGCTTTCTTATTGTCTCTTATAAGGCATTACGTAAAGCCGTTGGATGTGCGATAAAGTGTTTCGCTTCGCTTTGATTATTTAATGAAATATGCATGCGGGGAAACGAACAAAATTAACACTTACAACCAAATCGGGGACTGACCAACATGCATGCCTTGCAGCCCCATATGCGGGCATTGACTAGGAAGTGGGTCTATCAGCCTGGTGCGTTGACTTTTGCTCGAGCGTATGTTTGTTTGTGTCGATAACTCGAAGCGATTTAATTACAACGACAACAGCCGCCAATTGTCGCAATGTGCATTAAATATGCAGCTTTAATAATATAATTCAATGTCAATTGACGCGCTAATATCGGTATACATATGTCGTAATTATCTTTGGCCAGTCAAAACTGAAAAAAAGATTCGCGATGGGCATGCTCGTAGTTCAATACTAGTAGCTTGGTTTCTTTTTTCCAAATGTTATCAGTTGGGGAGCATATTATGTGTAGTTGTAATAGACAATGAGCTCATCTACGTTGTATAGCCATATTGTAGACAACAAGCAGACCCTATCGCTGTTTAAAGGTCCATCTATTGACTGCAGAAGCAAAGCCAAATTGAAACAAGCAATATAAACAAGCTGCGGAGCAGAGAAGATAAGCCAAAAGTCAGACTAAATATTTTCAGCATGAGTAATTTTGGCGTGCAGAGTAATTACCCTAAAATTGATACAGTTTCATACAAGAGGCAACTAAACACATGTTCAGGTCACATGTACATACATACATATGTATGTGTATATACACGTTACTGCCGCAAAAGTTCGAAAATAAATTGCTTTTCGGGAAAGGCAAGCAAAATACACACGCATAATATGTAAACAAATGGAGTAAAACAAAAAAAAACAACAACAGGTTATACAATTCATGGACGAACTCAAGTGGTTCAACATGATGGAATGAATCATCAGCCATTCAACCGGTAGTGCCCAATAACTCGAACATCAAACGGTTGTTGGTGTTGTCATTGTTGCGATAGGATTTTCTTCTATTTGCTACTATGATGGCAAAGTCGCCAATGGGTCTTGTGCAAACAGCACCTGATATTGTATACTAATGCGTGCATACACATACATATGTATAAATATACATATGTATGTATATGCATTCATACGTTGGCATGCGTGTGTGTGTTTGTGACTATTCTGCAAATAGTGAAGGCGAAGTGCTCTAACCAATGAATGACGGCAGCCTAACGCTGAATAACCGGAAACGAGTACATACATATGTATGTATGGTGTACATACATTTAAGTCTTTATGTATAAATTCGCGTGGGAGTGTTGCAAATCCTTAAATAGATAACTAAAAGCACGTACCTTTCCAAATCGCAGGGGAACGCAAATGCTGGGATGCCTGTGAGCACCTCTTTGTCGCAGAAGCTTTCCGGAAATCGCTCCACAATAAGGCGCGTGGGCGTAATTTCGCACCAAAACTCGAAGAGTTTTTTGACGTCGTTTCTAACAATGACAACAAGTGATAGTCATACAAATTAATATACAGCTGATGTATTGTAGAAAAGTTTATGTCTGCTGTTAAAGGGTGAACTTCACTGATGGGCAGGTGTACCCATGCGAAACGCCCCCACTTTAGAGGGGCCCACAAGCGCAAGCAACAATACTTACTTAATACGCGACCCCATTTGGATGCGTTAATTTTTAGCACATGTTTCAATCTATTCAATTTGTGTTAAATTTGTTATTTTCATACTGATTTGTAGAATCACTCTACTAGACAGACTCTGCTTTGTTATTGCCGTTGTACGTAATTGGTCGAATTCGCGACGTCATTAACTTGAATCATTGCATTGTGATTGTATTTTTCACAGACTGGCTGTTCCGTTCGTTTTTTGCACAGATCTTTCCGCGTTATTTTAGCCACTGCACTTTTAATATTAGGTTTAATTATAGCTCCACGATTAAATGATTCACTAGGCTCATTTATTTTTGTGCATAACAGAAGAAATAAAAAAAATACACCTTTTTTACAAATTCAACTTAACGCAGAACAACCTGGCAAACGAAGCGACCAAATGCGAGTGATGCAAGATTCGCGATAGTCAACGCCGTATCGAAACGAACAGCTGTTGTTTGTTAAGTATTTTAATACCGAATGAAATGTAAAATAAAATTTGTTGTAATTTCAAAATACAGCCAAGTAATTCAGTGTTTATGTTTTATTATATTTGATAGATCTTCAAATATAGGCATTCGCATTTAAAACTTTGAGACAACAACAAAAATGGAATTGAGTAAAGTAGCGTATGTAGTATCGATATATTTGGCGGGCGCAAGTGAACAGCAGCTGATTACATTAGTGTAGCGTCCTTCGAGAAGACCAGTTTGTTTGGCTTTGTGTTCTGCTTTATACTCAATCTTATTTAAATGGAATAAGAAAGTGTAGCTGTGTGTGTGTGTATTTACATTTTTCGTGGTTGTAATATTGTGCTTGCAACTCAAGTTCCTACTAACAGCTCTGCAAACCGCGATATAGGACATACAAATCTTATCTCACCTCTCTTATTTTAAGGCTTTTAACATTGTTAAATTATAATATTTGGTACTAAAGACTGAATTGCTGTGCAACGTAAGAAGGCAAGTCAATCAATATTATTCATGTGTTCGTCACACTTGGCACGTAATTGTAGCAGAGGGGCGACCGAAGCAATACCCACTAAAATAGCCGCTTCCATACATTAGTTTGCGTGCTTTGCACTACCAGTCACATATCTACAGACATACACACACACACACACTCACTCATTTACACCCACCTACTAGCCGCCTACTGTTGGGTATTGATTGTTTTTGCACGTGATATTGAAACAAAGCAAATAATATATGCAATGGCGCAATGCAGCCCAAAAGAATGCTATGCCTAATTTACAACGATCCAATGGATTTCACTATAACGGACAATAATATGGGCCGTGACATTTGAATCGTCGTTCCTCCCTTTCTTACTGTAACCTAAAGTTCATGTCAGTTTAACAAAATTATCTAAATTTAAAATTTTTAATTTACGTTATTTTTTTAAGGTAAGACGTTATGCAATGCTATAAATTGGTAGAGCCGGACATTCGCTGTAGTAAACAAATTTATAACACTAGTGATAAGCCATAGTTTTGTGATTTATCAAAAAGTGAAACCAAACATTGTCTTAGCTTAGCCATGTTTTGGGCGCTTGTGCCTGGCCAGGTCAAGTTGGCTGTTTACCATATAGCCATCCCAAAGCTGACTCCCGACTTGCTCTGTCTAAGTCGCAAGAACGCGAAGATAATGGCTGTGGCGCGTCTAGCGCTTAGTCATGACAGCAGAAACCGTCTACTGTTGCAGCAAAGCTTGCCCCAGTCAGACAAAGAACAACAACACCGGCAACAACAATATTTACTGTGAGTGAGATGATAAACCCTTAAACAATGTATATATACTTCTTCGTTATCAACGTCTGCCTAATGCGTCCGGATTCGAAAGAGATAGCTCCTCTTCAGGGCACTGGACAGGCCGGCCACACTTTCGCACGCTTAGGCAATTAACTCAGTCATGCACACACATATGTACGAGTATATTTGTAGTATATTAATGTGTGGTGTGCGATAAGATACGCGTATATTTATATATAGCCAGTACGGGGCTATAAAGAAACTAGAGGCGGTTTCATTGAATAATTGCACGGTTGATTTTCTAATCTTCAGTGTTTTGGCTATTTTTTAATTTCAGCAGCTCCCAGGTTCAAAGTTCAAAATTTACTGTGAGACATTTGCACACCCCATACGCGGAGCCACTTAAAATGTTTTACTCCATGTACGCTTACCTGTCGAATCTGCCGCGATTGCATGTGTTGGGTTTCGCAATTCTAGCGTATGTCATCTATTACCTCATACAGGTTGTCAAGGTGAGCAATTATTTGCAATTTTCTCGGTATTCCTATTTTTGAAAAAAAAAATGTTTATTGTATTTCAGCGTCCGATTATTGCCTGCGCCGATGGACCCTTCAAACAATATCTCATTAAGAAAGTGCCAACGCTGGAGAACAAGTACTGGCCAACATTCTGGTGCGTTGAGAGTCGGGCCCAGACGGTGCTGGCAAGTCTGCTCCGCTCAAAGACATTGCCGCGCATGAATTACCGCAGGGAAATTCTGAGTCTAAAGGATGGCGGCGAAGTGGCCCTGGACTGGATGGAGGAGGGCTGTGATAAGCAGACTGCGCCCTGCATTATAATATTGCCTGGATTGACAGGTGAATCACAAGCGGAGTATATAAAGTGTCTAGTCTTGGCCGCCCAAGAGGCAGGCATGCGCGTTGTTGTCTTCAACAATCGTGGTCTAGGTGGGATTGAACTAAAGACGCCACGTCTGTATTGCGCCGCCAACTGTGAGGACCTGTGCGAAGTCATACAACATGTGCGTCGAACCTTGCCAGCGCGTTGTAAACTAGGCGCTACAGGCATTTCTATGGGCGGCCTGATACTTGGTAAGTATACGGAGATTTCCAAAATAATCTTATGTCTAGTTACTTTTAGCACTTTTTACATTTATCTATTGCAATATATAAAATATTAATTATCGGATTATATAACCTTGAAAGCTGGAAATAGAACTTCATTAACCTAACTGGCAGATAAGCTGAGACTTATCCTTTGTTAGTTATTATAAAGGTGATCAAAACTGGTTCGGAATTAAAGTGTAACTGTTTGAAAGCATCAAAAGAATGCTGAATGTTGATTACTTTCCTCGCAATTAATTGATACATTTTCCTACCTTTTCTATGACCTAATTTAAATGTAATTCTACCTACAGGTAACTACTTGGCACGTAAGAGCGACGAGGCACGCTCCATTTTGTCAGCGGCTAAAATAATTTCGGTGCCTTGGGATGTGCATAAGGGTTGCGCCAGCATTGAGAAGCCGGTGCTGAACAGCCTGTTGGGCCGTCATCTAGCTGGTAGCTTGTGCCGTACTTTGCAAAATCATTTGGACACCTATAGGGATATATATCAGGATTCGGATATTGACATTCAGCGTATACTGCGGGTAAGTTTTTAGGTTATTTGCTGAGTATAGGTATATAAATATGAGGTTTCTAAACATTTAACAGGATTTATCTCTCATTTTTGTATCTTTACCTTCAATTAGTCATAAACTCTCCTTGTCCTTTCCAGTGTAAGACCATCAAAGAGTTCGATGAGTTGTTTACCGCAAAGCAATTTGGATACGCTCATGTCAACGATTACTACACGGATGCCACGCTGCACAATAAGCTTGATCACATATCCGTACCTCTACTATGCCTTAGTGCTGCTGATGATCCATTTCAGCCGTTGGAGGCGATACCTATTAAGGCAGCGAACCAGTGTACTCACGTGGCCATAGTAATAACAGCACGCGGGGGTCACATTGGATTCTTGGAGGGTTGGTGGCCATCTACCAAGGATCAATATATGGGTCGACTGTTTACTGAATACTTCAGCAAAGCGCTCTTTGACGAGGACGGCGAGTTCGAGCATACAGCCAATAAAATGCATGAACATTTTCTCGCTAAGCAAATAGTAGCACTGGAGGCACGTCTTGCTGTTCCACCGTTGCTCTTAGAAAAGCCTACAGAACACTTGGAGCATAAAATGAAGTTGATTTAGATGGAGCGTTCAGTGATATACATAGGCCTTTCAACTACTCTACTACTCTATAAATGTGTTGTTTATTTAGGCTTTTGTTAACTGCAGAAATAAATACGTATTCCGAATCCATATAAATACTCAGGCGAAAGTCGACGATTTTCCAAACTAATGTGATACGAAATGGAACAAAATCTTAATTGTTGTTAAATTTAAATAGGAAATTGGAAAAACATCGACATCCTCTAAGGACTTAGCTTATTAACTTAGCGTAGTCATTAGTAACATATCAAATTGGAAGAAACGAGAAAGCTTTATAACTTTAAATAACATAATTATATGGTAGCAGAAGCGCTTAAATTCGAAGTTGAAATGACATCAAGCAATAATATTGGTATACGTTAATGTTTTCAATTCCATATATTTAACTAATAAAAAATACAACGCTTAATAAAAGTACACACATCATTTAAAACATACATCATTTCAGGTTAATCAATTTGACAGCGCAGTTAGTACGAAATTGTTGAAGGCTGTGAGCCGTTGGTAACGAAAACGTAGAATTCTACAACTAAAGTACATAATGGGCCGCCTAGATGGGCTTGTATAACAATGTTGTCACGTATTTCTTACGGTAACGATGCGTTGCGCTAAGAACCATAACACCATCCTTGATCGAGAGCGCATAAAGATGATTTAGCATGACGTGATTCGGTTCCGGCAGCAATGTGGGCTCACACTGAAATTAAACATAAGCTTATTTATGCACACAAGAGTATTGTTTCATTTTCCTTACCGAGAGTGGCGTGTCCTTGTTGAGAATAACCTGCAGCAAGTGTGGCGGCAAAACTGGCGGCCCCGAAACTTTCTCCCAGGGTTTGACTTGTGGCACTTCTTGCGAGTATTCCTTTTCCGCATAGTTGGGGACATTCTCACTGTCCTTGGCAAGTGCTTGGAACACCTCAAAGTCTGAGGCACGTACTGAAACCAAATTATTTTTGATGCCATCTTCGTTCTCAACACTTTTCTGCAAGCACAAAAATATTAATTCTCTCATTGAGAGGAACGCAATAATTTTAATCCCAAGCTACTGGCATTATCATTAATTAGCGTTGCCAGACCAGCCAACCCCACCTTTCTACAGTTTACAAGCGATTACACAAGTAAATGCTAGTTACTGCGTCATTGGGTACAAGTACTGTAAGCATACACACACATGCATTTATATGTACATTATGCATGTGTGCGTATGTATATTGATTTTTCAAATAAACAAGAATATAACTCACCAGCTTAGGATCGTGTTTCCACTCGCCATCCACACAAAACTTATACTGGTGGTCACCTTCGGGCAGATCAATTATGGTCACAAAATTACCATGACTGCGTACCATAGGTATGGGTTTCCACTGCGAGAATGTGCCCGAAATGGTGACATTCTTACCGCCACCATCCCAACGCAATACCGTCGGCAAAGCCGTTTTCTTTAACTCGTCATCATCTCCAGTTAGTGCCGCTGCTGATCCTCCCGTCTGCTCATCATTATTAAAATCATCCATTGTATTCTCGCCGCTGACTGCGCTTTGCAAAACAGCTGTTGTTGAGCCACCCTCTGCTGTAACTGCGTCGTTATCAGCTGTGCGTTTAGCTCCCGTATAATATGGCTGTGGATTTTCGTCGTCTTGCGACGAGCCCTCGTTTAAGACTGCCGTATGTTTTTTATCGAACGAGAAAGCTTGGCCGCCCGCTCCAATGCCACCCAATGCTGCTGCCCCACCACTGGTAGGGCCAGCGCTCCCCGCACCACCGCCACCTACCGAATCGCGAAAATGTGCGGGAGAGCTTGGCGTTGAAAGGTCGGTTGATTTGTGACGCTCACGATGCATGTGCGCCGTTGAGCTGCCTGCGTTTCCCATAGTTAGTTGCACTTATTGCTCTTTAATTTTGTACACAGGTTTTAGTTAAAAAAGGTTACTTTAAACATTTAGCACCGTGGACGAAGTGATTGCTGTTGTTGTTGTTGCTATTTTGTATTTGGCACTTTGTTTTCCTTGACTTTTGTGGGTATCGCTGTATTTGTTGCATACGCTCTTTCGCTTCCGCGTTTCGAAAACAGTTTTCTCAGTACTGAAGTCTCGTAGTAAAATAATTAAGCATTAATTTGCATTATTTAATCGTTTGTTTTTGTCGTATAAAAATGCTAATTATAATTATTGTACATATATATTTGCAGTTCCAACTGGATTTGATTCATTCTGCGAGAACTTTGAGGGGTTGCATTTACTGAAATCGACAAGGGCTGCAGTAACAACAGATTTAAAAAAATAAAACAGCTTAATAAGTTTAATAATAATTGCATATGGTTGCATGTTTTGCCACTAAAACGAAAACTAAATTCAACGCCATATTGTATATAACAGGGGCATTCGCCAAGTTTAAACAATAGAAGAAGGGAACTAGTTCTCGCATGTGTACTATTCAGTTCCCGATGTTACGGAAGCCCTAACGCAAATGAGCAAGGTTTAGTTGGAAAAAATTAAGAGGGACAAATTAATTAACCACTATTACTTGACGGGATAAGTGTTTTGTAACCAAAATTGGTAGAATACATTGCTTTAATCGTTTTCACTGCCACTGCTGTTCAGGTCAAGGTGACTTTCGTTTGTGTAAAGTGGTTTAGTGAGTGGCGATGGCCGAGTTGGTGAGAGATTGGTTGGCGGACTATCAGCGCGCCCGTCGCCAGCCAGAGGAATCCGAAGCTTTTGTAGTCGAACATGAAACGGATCCGGAAATCGCCGAGGCCATCTTCACGATATTCAACGAACGGCAGCGGCACGAGAGCCTGGTGCACGACATTTGCCAGCAACTGCTATCGTTTTACAGGGCCCCAGAGGTGGTGCTGCACAAATTTCCATTGCAATTCATACCTGTGTTAATCTACACGTACCTGCATGCGGTGGCGGCGGGCGACAAGAAGGCCTCACGTGGCGTGGAAACGCTACTGATATGCATTTATAATGGCGAGGTATCCACCGACGACGGAGGCCAAAAGGTGGTTGCATTCCGCATGCCTATACTAGCGCAGGCATCCGTTTACCATGAGATGAAGAATCTGCCCATGACCGATCTGCGACGCTGGGAGGAGAACTGCAACCGTGAGGTAAAATGGGGACCGCATATGCGCATCGAATCAATTACCGCTCAAAATCGTATGCGCATTATGGCCGCCCTGCTCTTTTGCTACAATCAGCAGGTTAATTTAGCGCAAAAGTCCTCGCTGCTGCATTTGTGCCGTGTGGCGTCACAACTGGTCAATCAAGGCTTTACCAGCAAATCTGGCCATGCTCATCGCATGAGCTACGGGTAAGTCATTAATTTGACGTTGATATATTCAACATAAATAGCCGTATTAATGATCTCTTTACCCATAGCTCCGACCCAACCACGGGGGCCACCTTTCCGAAACCTTCATCACCGCGCATTCCTCTGTCGTGCGCATTCCTGATCGAACTGGTGCATGCCATTTATTTCGCTATGTTTAACGGATTTGGCACTATTGCCATACAGACACTAGAGGATATACACAACCGCGCTGGCTACGAAATGTACACTGGAGTAATATTAGTGACAAGTGCAGTGCGAAACTCATTGCACGCTAATCCCTCAGGTCAGCCAAATGACGGACCCATGGGCTTGAGCGTGGCACTGACTCCATCCACAAACACCGTAACGACTTCTGTATCAAAATCGATGATTACAAACGCATCATTCCGAACGAAAAAACTTCCCGACGATATACCTATACAAGTACAAGACCTCACGATGCCACAAGCGCCACAGCAGTTGGCGAGCGTAACAGAAGAATCGGAGCCGGGCTCTAAGGAGTCTCCCTCGACAAAAGAGGGAAGTGGAACGCGCACCTCCATTATTCGTCCCAGCATGGAGGGCATTAAGGCTCAGGCGCATAAGGCGCTCATAGCTGGATTCAAGAAGTCGAAAGACAAGGATAAGGATAAGGAGGGCAAATCTGCTGAACCGCCAAAACCACCGCAACGTAAGTTCGATAAGCACTCACAGCGAAATTCGTTGCTTCAAATGCAATCGGACACCGGCCTCGACTATGAGAAGAGCCCCTTGGCAACCAAGGCAAAGACCTACGATGCTGTGGTGGAGCAGCAACCCACCGAAATGCTGCCCCTCCAAACGTTGTCGCTCATCAATGAGAACGGTAGCAATAGTTTTAGCGTTGATAGCGACATGAATGAGGGGGTGGGAGCTATTCAAGGCGGCGGTCCCCCTGGCCAGTTGCCCACACTAAACAGCAACACCAACTCCATAACAAGCAGCGATTTGATAACAAAAAGCTTCGACTCGAGCGTTGAACTCGCGCAATTGGGTCACAGCAATAGCAACGGGGCCAAGTTGGCCGAACATGGACTTGAATAGTGAGCTCGTCGTATGGAGTGGATGAGTGGCAAGTTCAACAACAAATTAGCCAAATTCAAGTATATTTATTATGATTATATTACATGTATATTCGCACGTTTGTTGAACGAGCTGCACTTTTACCTTTGGGTATTAACACATGAACAAAGCAGGATGCATGGCGAGAGGATCGCAATACTAAAACCATTTAAACTTGTTGAATTTTTTTGGTAATTCTTAGTTGTTATGTAACCATACTACTTTATTGTAATTGTTGGTAAAATGTATACGTATTTCTAATTAGTTCTTTCGGTTAGGTTTAAGCGTTTAAAGTTTTACAAGTGCATCAACATAGAAAGCCAAGAAACTCAGATAGTTCCACCCATAATCCCAATAAGAATTTCCTGAACATTTCTCTTAAATGTAACAAATACAACTTAAATTGAATTTAAAGGTAATACCTTGATTTTCCATGCATTCTGGAATATACAAATTTATGTAAAATACAAAACATACCATAAATACATAAGTTTATGCACATATGTAGGTATGTGCTTGAAAATATACATATGTAAACTAATATATGTACATACATATACACAAATATTTATTGAACGTTGACTTAAAACCATGTTATCAATTAAAAATAAAAACTATATATACGTACAATTGCATTCACAAGTTAGATATCAACTTAAAGATCGCTTTCTAAACTTCCCCTGCAGAAAAATTCGTGGAGCATCGACTCCCTCTTTGATGTTGAGCGTTCGTCGATGCACGTAGGAATTTGACAAGATTTCAAAGCCGGTGCTGCTGAACAACTGGGCCAATTCCTGCTCTGAAAAGTAATAGCTGCGTGTACCATCCTGACGCATGTAGAAATTATCGGCGATTTTGTGGCCTGGTTTAAAGCGTAATTGAGCCATGTCGTACAATCCGTAGTCACGAAATAGGACCACTCCTCCAGGCTTCAGCAATCGCCAGAGATTTTGCAATACATCTCCAAATTTGTCCGGATGTATGGCAGATAGTACAAAGATCATTGTGCACACATCCAAGCTCTCTGAAGGAATGCTCTGGTGCACCTGTTCAGTTGTGATATCACATTGAAAAGCAGTTATATGATTCGGATCGTACAGCTCATTAGCGCGCACAAAGTCAATAGCACGAGGTGAAAAATCACAGGCATAGAAATAAAAGCCTCCGCCACTTTTTAGTTGTTCCTCCAATAATGGAAACACCAAGTTTCCAACACCGCATCCGACCTCTAAAAGATTCCGGTGCTCACCCTTGCTTTGGTTCGTGTTGTGTGGCTCGGCCAGCAGCTCTTGAAATTCTCGTGTGGTCCAGTGGCGATCTTTAAAGAAACGCGTCTCATTCCGTTTATAGAATATATCCCAATGGCGCTGTGCATCAATTTCGAGTTTTTGAGCTTTAAATGCAGGTACAAGCCTTTTGTTTTGTTCGTCCAGCTTCGCCCTCTCTGATGCAGAGAGCTCCTTCGTACTCGTGGAAAATACATCGGTAATTGGCTGGTCAAGTGGCTCCTGCGTCATTTTGTTTAAAACTTAAATATTCGTTTCTCGATTTATATATCTGGCGCCACCCCACTTGGTGGAATTGCAACGTGAGACGAACATATGATTTAAGTGCACCACACTGGCCATTCCATTAGAGTTGCCACACTGTAGAAAATAACGGAACAATAATGCGTCCCATCCACGGCTTATGCTTGTTGATTTATTCAAATTCTGCAGTGTGACCAAACTGACTTCTCAAAATGCGTTTGCGAAAGCAATCAGCCCGAACGCTGATTTTAATTGTCTTGTCGTTTTAGCCGTTAACAATTCAATTTGGCGCTTTCTTTAGGAATTTTATATTATTTTTATAATTTTTATAATAAATTTCAATTTTATTTATTGCAAAGCAAAATCACTTGCAGGAATACCATAACTATTCATGTGACCAAAAAAATGATCAAATCAAGCACTGGAAGCTAACATTAATCATTATCCACTGGTTTTCATTTTCTTTTAGACGTATTTAATGAGATTGTTAATAATTTGTATGCAAATGTCCTTTTATTGACACTCCAAATTTGACCCACAAGAACACGAGTAGACATTTTAGCCTAAATTTAATTTAAATCAATCTCTTTTATTGCGTTTAGATCCTTAAATTTATTTAAAGGCGAACTCTTTAAATAAAGCTATTATTTGTAAAGAAAGCAACAGATATGTAACAAAAATAAATATGTAAAAAGTTGCAACCTAAATACATGGTTGATTGCTTTGGTCTTTCGTTACAGTAGACTAGCTATAGTTTCACTATAATCGGTCCTTCTCTATTCATCTGCCCATTATTGTGGGCTCATCGGCCATAGCAACTTCGTCGTTGGGTGCCTTTGCGCCCTTCTTCTTGCCAGAGTACCAAAGGAACATTAAACCGCACACAATGTTGACAACAAAGGTGAACCAGGCCAAATAGACACCGTAGCCATAGCTGTAAATACAAATTGGAGTTTTAAGTATTTGATGTGCTCCTGCGCCAAATAATACTCACATCAATTCCGCACCATCCGGGTATGCATAGAACAAATTTTCTCTGGTATAGTCCACAGATGAAAACAGAACTTGTATGACAACTAAAGCCGTTGCCGCTGCTACCAGATGTATACCACCAGCCAGACGTTTAAACATATATCGCGGATTCATGAACGTGTAGAAGGAAAAGACGGCGCCCAGGGACATTACGAACACTGTGATACAGGCAAAGGATGCCTGTGTGCGTATGTAATCTGTAATGGGGTACCAAGCGACTGTCAATTATGAAGAGCAAGATCGTTCCCTACTGCCGCCCAGTGCTATATACCCTGGTTATTACCTACCCATTAATTCGTCATCAAAGCCGGGCTCATTGCGCAGCGTGTGGGAGTTTGGAAACATATCGATGTATTTGCAGCGTTCTGTCGATAAAGAGAAGTTAGGCCTTTTAATTGACGTTAATACATACTTAGTACACTCAAAAAAATTAGGAGAGCACCCACATATTTTAGATAAAGAGTTAAGCTTTACAATTCTAAGATAAATGGAGATTTATTAACATACAATAATATTTTTTATAGGAAGGATTTTTTGTCCGATCAGTTTCTCTGCATACTTTCAGGTTTGTATTGATTCGATTTGATTCGATCACTTGCAATCGATTATATCACGTTTGAAATGAATGATATCTGCTCAAGTTAGCTCGGGCAACATTTCTAGCTCCATTTGTTAACAATCTAATCAAATTCTAATTTCTAGTTTTCAAGTTTTGGTGCTCCCTTAACTCCTCGATTGAGAATTTTGTGTACTTACGATTCGGTATGTAACTATAGTAGGCAGTCTGCCCAGGTTTATTTGGCGGTAAGGGCGGCACCAGCGTCAAGATGACACGCCCTTCGTTTAGAACGTAGGCGGGTATGCCTATATCGCGAATATATGTACCGAGCAGGCGCACCACCAACGGATACTCAGTCCAATTGCTAAATATGGCCTGCTGGGCCACTTCCGGTATCACATAGTAGGAATAGCTGTTGTTGTATTTGACGCGCTGCAGTGCCTCGCCAAAAGTAAGGCGCGCGAAATGAACATCGAGAGGATCGACGTGGATGGGTTTGGCGTTAATGGGAATCATTTCGCGCTCACTCGCTTCCGTAGACATGACCAGGTTTTGAAAGGCACTGCGAAATGTTTGAAAATCCTGCTCGTCTCCGCGCGCCCAATGAGCGAACATTCGTCGACGGGCTTGTTCTGTAAAGGTCTCGGACTCATCTAATTTTTCTTCGGAGAAATGCTTAATGAAATCCGTATTGGACAGGTTGCGTTTGGCATCATTGATAAGGGCTTGGGAGGTGTACGACATCGATGTGAAGTTCCTTATAACTTGGGCATTACTGAGTGCATTCGGAACAATGGTGTTTCGACAATGCCGCCACAGACCCGAATGCGATGACATGAAAAAGCGACGGGATTCGGGTATAAAAATTCCTGCGCCTCCCGATATAATGATCCAGTGATCCGTTGTTATAGCCAGAATCCAAATAAGCAGCGACACTACCTTCAGGACACTGCATCCAAGCAGCACACGGCGTTGGAACATATAGGCTTCCATCAGCGGACGGCGCGCCTCATCGCGCCCAATGGTCGAGGTGGACACGTCCCGCTTCATTTCGACTGAATCTTAATAATGCAACACTAGTAATACGCCCGTTTGCGGCCTGCGAGCTGTGCGCGCGCCAACTGTAAAGCGCTCTCTGGACGATGAGACAGATAACGAGGGAAACGAGTAATCCACACGCACATGGGAATGCGCACGTTCCTGTTGGAGTAGGAGAGTGGAAGCATTAACATCAACAATGGGCATAATTTAAAGGCAAATGAAGTCATTTCTAATGTGCTACAAAGCGCGAGCCCCCATCTACCCGTCTATATGTACGAACAGTTCATATAATAGTCCAACATATAGATTGTATCCGAAACAAACTGATCCTACTGAAACACTTGTATAATGCTCGGTAAAATGAATTCAAATCATCTCTTCAACATAAAAACTTTACGCATGGAAAATAGAGTCCAAAGGGATTGATTCTTGGAATTCACGAAACAGAGAAAAAGTTTACTGAATATGCTAAACAGTTAAATAAAGAAACGCGTATAATTAAAAGTTTACAACAACTTTTTTTGTTGGGCAAGAAATTTGTTAACACGTACGAAAATACATATATATTATGTATGAGTACATAGTAAAAAAATAGTACATACTTCGTATGTTAGACTACATGAGGCTCAGAACTTTTTTGCGCCAAGCATAAATGTTAAAATTACAACTGAAAAATAACTGATTCGAATGACAGAAAAAACGGAATTAATTTATTGCTTCAGCGGTTGTAGTGGAAGACAAAATAAGAATAAGCTTAAAGTAAAATGGCTTCGCTTATGTATATTTCTTCGCAATTTAATTTATTAGGCTTTGGAATTGTGTGCAGTATTGATGAAATTCTGTAGCGGGGGAAAATTCGAAACAAACCAAATGAGCTCGTGTTGCCTAGGTACTCGGAGAGTCTAAACACCAAGTTTGGTCGATGTGGGCTCAGTGGATTCCAGCCGTTCATTCCGACGGACAGACATCTCTACATGGACTTGTCTCGTAATGCTGATTAACAATATTTATACTTTATGCTTCATTCTGCCTGTTACATACTATTTTGCAATAACCAAATATATACTGCACAGTCTATAAACTATGAACTAGTGCGGGGCAGGGTAATTAGCATTGTTAATATTTCGGCATCTGCTTTTTATACATTGAAACCATTTAAACGAGTAAGAACATTTTTTTAATTTAAACAAAATTCATTCAAGGCACAAATTTATGTTCAAGTTCATGTCAACTATATAGTGGAGAAAGTGCCTAAATAATTGCCTTTTAAATGCAAAAATAAACTTCTCAAAATCTTCAACAGCGTTTGGAGGTCTGGAAAGTTGGTACACCTACATATTTCATACCTGATCGGATTTTCTCGTATACAACCCTTATCCGAACAATTCTATATATGTATGTGTGTACATATATACATGTGTGGCTATGGGACATTGCGACACTGTCACAATTCAGCAGGTGCTAGCATTTTTCGCATTTATATATATGTATTTGCTTCTAATTTGTGGGCCACTATAATATTTAAAACAACATTTTTTAAAAGAAGTTTCACATTTGTCCCAGTATTTGAATACGGACCATTCATTATGTTACTTGGAGAATTATTTATGGGGTGGCGCGTTACATGTTGTTTTTGTGATGTAGCCGGGACAACAACGCACGAGGCAACAAATATTTGAAAAATTATTTTTTTTTTTTTGTGTGCAGAATCTTAGAAAATCTGTGAAAACAAAGCCAGAAAGCGCACAAAATAAATGACAAAATATGTGAGAAATCGTAAAAGCAAATAGAAAGAAAGAAAAGTAATAGATGGTGCTTTCGCTTGGCAAATGTTTTGCAAAAATTAGGTAGACCGTTGCGGGCGTGGGTGTGTGTGCGTGTGCCATGCATATACCAATCGGTGTAGACGGTTTTATTCTCGCAGTTTGCGCTTTATTCAACTTATAATAATATAAAAATATTTCATGGTATGTTAAAACACAGGCACGTACATACATACATATGTATGTAGATATTTATTTATCAATGTCCCTCATAATTCAGGGGAAAATCCACTATTTGTACTAATTGGACTGTCTAAAATTAGAGCTCGCATTTAACTTGGAACAGGTTTTCGAAATGAAAATTTTAATAAAAATTGTATTCTACAAATAAAGTGAAACGACTGTGAAGGAATAAAAACTTTAAAAGATATAAAGAATTCAGAAGTAGGGACGATATTCGAGAGAGTACTTGAACTAAATTGAACTTAAACAGAAATTGGAACGTCACCTTTTAATTTTCCTGAACGGCTTTTTATTGGTGGTTGGAATAAATATGGCAATTTATGTATTGATATGTTTGATTAAATGGAATTTAAGTCAAACAATCGTATTTCGACATAAACATTCATATATTAAATGCAAACAAAGCGAAAAAAACGGTCACTCTATCGACCTGCAGAAAATCTGCCCCTGAGCTGATTTTGTTTTAAAAATTGGGTGCCTGCATTTTTCTCAGTTTAGTTGGTTACATTGTTTTTGGTTTGTTTGCAGCTGCTCTCAACAGCTGATCGGTTAAAACAAAGTCCAAACTTAAACTGAAGACTCAATAATTTTTTATTTGGTTTTGCTGATATTCTTTTTACTTTTGGCTCTTAAAACTCATTTTTAAGAATGCGTGTTAAGCTTCATATCGTAGGAATTTCTTCTTGTCTGCTCCTTTGGAGAGATATCAATTGAATTGAATTATTAAACTACCTTTGTTTGAAATACTTATAATAGAAGTTAAAACTGCAACTGTTAAGGCACTTTGAACTCAAACCTGATTGTAATGTTTTCTTCAGCAGGAACGAAATGAACATAAATATCAGGGTTTGGTGGTCGGTCCCTAAGCATCTCATCTCCAGGCTTCTCTAAAGAGACGGAGCAGTTTGTTTTTGCAAACTAATTTGTTTAATTAATATTTTTCTTTATAAAATATTAGCAACTTGTATTTCCCTATTATGATAAACATATAAAAAATAACAAAAAGCGTGTTCAATTAATGGTCTAACAAGTTAATAAATGCATTTTGAATGAATATATTTGAATGAAACATGAATGAATGCTATATAGCTCATTAATAGTTTCCTTTATGGTATAACAGAAAGAGAGATAATGTAACGTGCAAACTACTATCTTAAGCGATGTTATTTTCAATAAAAATATATTGTTTGGTCTTTAAATTAGGGCTGCTACTTATAGAACTGCTTGTTTATTTAAAAATTAAATAGATATTATTATATTATTTCCCATATGATCAATGAATGACATTTGGGATATTTTCTGAGGTTGTAAAAGCTTGGAGTATGCGCTCATACAAGTATGTTGGCTGCGTTGGCCTAAATTTGCTTGAAATGGCCTCGACCCCCCAACCCATCCCAGCGACTCCAACTCTCGTCGTCTATTTTTAAAAGACTGCAGCCAGTGGAGTTGCATTTACGTCAGTGGTTTGCTGTAGGCTGAAGTGCGTCATGGGGCCAGATTTAAGTGCTGCCTGTCTCTTCGGCCGCCAAGTTCTATTGCGGCCGGGTGTGCGTGTGATTTTGTTTTAATAGGCTTGGCTATCTGTTGTTGTTGCTGCGGCCTCAACTTTCCTCTCAATTATATTGCACGGTAAAAATTTTGTTTTACGCATACTACTCGTCGTTGTTGTTGTGTTTTGTTTTAAACAAAATTTGTCTTGAAAAATTGTTATTTTTAGACAAAATGTACAGTTATCGAGGTATATCTGCCTTACTAAATCGAAACATATATATATTTTCAGCTTGCCACGTCAAAAACGGCCGTTTTTCAAATTCCATTTTCATTGTCTTCTTGCGCTCATATTGACACTTTTGACAAGAAAAATTTGATACGTATTTTGAAAATACAAAGTTGTTGTTTTTGGCCCAATGCACACAAACATAAACACGCACGTACACCGATTTAAATAAATATATATAAAAAAGAAAAAAATGTTGGGCAATCATTTTGTGTTCATTTATTTGTCTTGGCCATTGTTTTTGCGAAACGGTAGAAAAACACGTTAAATATTCGACAATTTGAAATGTCGAAAATATTAAAATTTATTTTGTTGCGTTTCTACTTTGGGCGCTCAAATCCCGTCTGTGACAGGAGCCGTAAAATTAAAACTTATAACGGGCCCGCCCGTCACTTTTAATTGTCTTTAGCGTTTCACGATTGATTTATTGTTATGTAATTGCCATTTTGTAGCATATACAATAAGTTTAACACATTGTTTACCATTAAAGCTGCAGCGCAGATTAGATATCCGTAGAGGCAGTAGTTGAAACTATCCTAGCACTCTTCAAAATTGCACACTTTCTGGGCGTGTTTCCACTTGTTGTTGTTTGTCTTCGGTTTTACGATTCTACCCACTACTTGGGAGTGCACTACTAGTGGCAGTGCACGTACGTCTAAAATAATTTTGCTAATTTCTAAACTAACAACAATATATGCAGAGGTTTTAAAAATATAAAAAGCGCGAGTGCTATTAACGCGCAGGTTGCACGGAACGGACTTTCCGCGAACGAAGCCGAAGCCAAGAGAAATGTCGGAAAATGCTAAGAAGACAAGGGGAGCAGCGATCTCGACCGCGACCACGACGCTTGTGTTGGCGGCTGCTACTGGCTTGTTGGCAGCCTTTAGCTTGTAGTAATAGCCACCACGTCGCTCAGGGGCCGTCCGCTCACTCACTCACCGATTCATAGACTAGTTCGGTCCATTGTATGTTCGTTAGCGATGATTTGCGAGCGCGCAAAAGAGCCCTGCATTGGCGCAACATAAACATAATTGTGGGGCTGGCGTTGGCGGCAACCAAGTTTATAAACAGACAGCCTGGCAGTTGGGTAGGGGCCAAAGAGAGAGCGAGAGTACAGAGGCAGGCGTGGAACGTGGAACATGTGTAAAAACTGAAACTGAATCAAAAATAAACACAACTGCATACACAGTATCTACACCCATGTGTTGCTCATGCCCATGCCACCTGGCCGAAGTCGACAGAGTTGGATTTGTTGGGATTAGAACATGGTGTGCGAGAACCTGCCGCACACGTCATCGTTTTTTAATTGCTCTATAAAATGCTTTAGCAATGCGTGCATAAATTTAGAAATTGATGTATTTAGGCATCTTTTTTATGGTCCAACAAACATACATACACTAGCAGCCACCGCCATGGGCTTCTATTTTTATGTACAAGCGCATGCCAACGCGCACACACTTGCTATCACTGGCCACTTGCTCGGACCGAGCAGCGCGCTATTAAACGTTGACAACGAGTTTATTAATGCTGTTGGATCTTTCTGGCATGCCATTAGCGCATCGTTGAGCACACAAATACATACATATACTTATATTTCTAGCAAGTTGGGGCGGGCGATGACGTTGTGCGAAAAGACAAGCAACCACTTGTTTTGGTGTTATATGTGTGCTATTGCTGTTGCCTGTCCGAAATGCGCAGCGCACCCAATTCAAGATTCAGTTCGCTTAGTATATCGTTTTGAGCAGCTCCTTGCATGGTCAATCCACTAATTATCTGTTGGGCCTCTGGACAATTAATGCAGGCATTCCGTATGGCTAGAATGCTCCACTCGCGCATCACTGTCGAAAAGATAATGTGCGAATAACAGAAATGCCTTTTTAAATTTTCAGTTCACTTACAAGGATTGCGGGCATCCATAACCGTGCATTCGAGCAGCGTAGGAAGTAGTTGCGTATCTAAGCAGTAGCCTATATTTACGTGATTGTTGTACAACAAATTGGCGGTGCAGCGCACCAGAAGCGTTTTCAGCTCGTACGATACTTTCGACTCATAATCTGCATCTATTGTAGAGGTTCGCGCAACTTCCTCCAACTTGGTCATTGGCTTGTCCACGCTGCCGCCATGGGGAGCTTTACCTGCTTCTACTACACACCGCAGCAAGCTGCTTACGTTTATAAAGAGGGAGTGATCACTGGTGTATGTACTAGCATACTTTTCAGAGCCACTGGCACTTGCTATGATGCGCAACAGAGTGTGCACTTCTCGGGGATGTAGCTCATGACGCAATTTGATTGTTTCTCGCAAGATGCAATCGGATTTTAGTCTGAACTCCTTGGCAAAATGTTTAAGGAGGAATGTGCCAATTTCGCCATTTGGGCTGTTATCGCGCAAATAGTTGGCGACATAATCCAGAAAAGCTATGCGTTCTTCTACCGTCAGTCGCTGATAAATAGCTACACATGTCCGAGCATTATGCACCACAAAATGCTCCAGAAAAAAATGCAGAAATTCGAAATTATAACTGCATTGCAGTGCATTAATAGCCTGCCAGAGACGTACACATGTCTCCAAAGCCAACTGGTCGTTTATATGGCCGCCACCCAGATAAATGTTGTACATAACCATCAGGAGCACATTATTTGAGTTGCCAAGTGGCGGTGCAATAACTTGTTCCACAATTGAAGCGCCATGTGTTGCCCATATAACTCCCTGTGCGCTTTCATTATTGACAACGCTGTTGGCCAGCACTTGCAGCGTGAGATTGTGAAGTGTGCGGTACTCTATCGGATTGTTTGGATTGAAAACAACATGCTTTATGAATTCGGCAAATTCTTTGTTGTTTGCTAGCGTGTTTTGGCATGATTGAGTTTTTGTTAGTAGCAAACGCACAGTTTTTAATAATGTGCATATTTCTTCGTTCTTTGTGGCTATGTCCAACTTGACTATCTGCTGCAGTATTTCGTTAACTTCATGGTCCTATATGTGTCATGCAACAAAAATTAATACAACAATGACATAGTTAAAACAAATTAAATTTATCTTACAAACTCAGCGGCTACAACCACATGATCCATGTTGTCCTTCTTTGTCGGTGTGTGCACACTGTTTTTATATCGCAAATGGTACCACAGCTGACTAGATATGTGCCAATTTATATTGTCGTGAATTGTAAAAGTTGGCGCCAATTGATACGATTTTTCCTTACGGGTGATTTTATTTTTATACATTTACATAAATTAACTACTAAGCATGAGCAATGCATTGCACAGCGATCGAAAAAGTAATTCGGCAGTAAAATGTAGTTTTGGCCTAAAGTGTAATCGATAATTCATCGTTTGACGCACGACTGTTGGCAGCCTTATGCAATGTTCAGCCCTGGTACTAAATTACTTTCCAACAATGCAAAAACATAAATAATGCTGTGATGTTGGCAACGAATGCAATCCCAATTGGCAATAAAGTGTAAAAAATAATGTCAGTGCGTGCCTTAAAAAAACGTGATACTCAACTCTTACAGAGCAGCAGCGCACCACGAATCTTCAAAAAGGCCAGCAGTGCGACAATAACTTCACCCAAGCGCATAGCTAAATCATCGCCAAAAGGAAATAAATTAACGGCACAAACAACTATCAACCGTCAACGCAACTTGCTAGGACGCGCAACACATTCTAATCCCGAACTATCGCACACTTACATATATTCTGAATTCCATAGGGCTATCGAAGCGAACAACCTGTTGCGCAGTAAATCTGAGGGCGATGTCCGCACTTTAGCTTTGGAGAATAATAACGCCAGAATACTATCAGGTGTAAACGCAAAATCGGAAGTGTGTTTGCAGAGCATAACATCGCACAGCTACGAAACAGCCCATCCTCATCCTCATCCATCTACAATGTTGGGAGGCGCCCGATCACATCGGGATCTGACGCAATCGTCGTACGCGACTGCACATGGAAGCGAACTGGACCATGGCAGAGCACCGCGCAGGATGAGCGAGTGCAGTATGGGCTATAGCCAAACGAGTGGCGGATATTCACAACGTACCAGCACCATGTTTGCTAGCCAAATGACGCTCTCATCGAGTGCACCGCCTGTGGATCCGAATGCAGTATTGCGGGTGCCGATTGTTGGCTATGAAGTAATGGAAGAACGAGCACGCTTTACGGTCTATAAGCTGCGTGTGGAGAATCCGGCTACGAATGACTGTTGGTTGGTGATGCGACGCTATACGGATTTTGTGCGTCTCAATACCAAGCTGAAGCAGGCCTTTCCAAACATTGTTTTACAGTTGCCACGAAAGAAACTGTTTGGTGACAATTTCAATGCAGTCTTCTTGGACAACCGTGTTCAGGGACTGCAGATATTTGTTAATTCTATAATGGCCAAAGAGGAGCTGCGCAAATGCAAATTGGTGCGTGAATTTTTCTGTTTGGACGAGCCACCTTCGTATTCTGAGTCTATGGAGGAGTGTCGCGTAAGCAGCAAGATTGCAAAATATGCAATGCCGAGTAATTACATTTTTGTGTATAATCCACTTAGGCTATATTCGAGGCACAGGAGGAGACTATTGCTCATTTGAAGCTGCAGATACAGAGTAAAAATGATCTCATATTAAGTTTGCAGCAAAAGCTTCGCGAAGAATTGGCAGAAAAGGAACAACTAAATGGGGCCATGAAGTGAGTTTAAATTAATCTTGATATTAAATTAAATAAATGTTTTTTATAACTTCTTGCAGAGCTATGAATGTTAAATGCTCACAGTGCTCTTCAGCCAGCAATAACAAGACGCTGCAGTGAGGTGGAAAGTAAATATTATTAAATGTGCAAGTGTGTACATTATTATGCTGAGCATAACTCTACACACCTGCACTTAACGCCGGAACATATCCAATTGTGCAACTGAAGGACTCAATCTGTTCGAATGTCATACCGACAGTGCTTTAGTATTCTTACATATAATGGTACTATATAGAAGGTGCCCCCAAAGCTAGAATTTTGAAGTATATACAATTATTTTGTGTAAGTACATATATACATGATATATGAATGTATATGGGCAAGAAATATCTATTATTGATTATATAAATAAATCTAAGACAATGTCACTTAAACTACTGCATTGGAAGTATAAAATGGAAGCACAGCGTGTACATATTGCAATGTAATGGCATTACTCAAAGGCTAGTCATGGCAGGAGGGCGGGCGTAGGCTTTTGGTATAAACCCATATTTGCGTGTCTTGGGGGCATACGCCCATAACCAACCGTCAACAGTTTGGTTGTTCAAATCGGCATATATCCAATCTCCGCGGCGCACGGAAAGATCATCAGGCGCTTGTGCTTTATAATCATAAAGCATAACGAGTTCTGTGCCATGATATCGCAAATCATCGGTGCCAATGCCTAGTTGTTGTGACTGCTGTGATTGATGCTGCTGTTGAGGTGTCAAGTGCTGTTGAGCCTGTTGTTGAAGCATAGTTTCCATGGCATTTAGACCGCCACTTGTCATATTTGCATGATGCTGCATATTGCTTTCGTTGAGTGGCGCCGCCTTCTGCTGCTGCAGCACGCGCACACTGTCTGCCGGATATATAAAATTGGCTGGCACAAAGCCCTCCTGACCATCGCTGCGCATGATCCAAGACCAATCGGAGTCCTCGCGATTTAACACAGTGACAAATTCACCGCGCTCTACTGATAAGTCGTTCTCGTCTCGCGCAATAAACGTGTACAAGACAATGCAACGTCCCGACGGCTCTTTGATGAAGGGCGTACATTCAGGTTCCACATGCTGGCTATTTTCGAGATTACTATGCGAGCCGTTGGGTGCTTCGTCACAGAGTACGTCGAGCTTGTTGTCGGAGCAAAGAAGCGGCACATTGTCGTCATGCTGCTGCTCGGTGCACTGCTCCCGCGGAAGTTTCTTTTTGATGGCCAGCTCAGCCATTTGAGTGTTGTAGGGCGCGCAATAGGAAAACGGAATGAAGCCCTCTTGCCTGGAATCCTGCCCAATGACATAGACCCAATCATTTTCCCGATACAGTATGTTCACCATCTGGCCACGCTTGACTTCTAGTTCATCGTCAACACAGGGCGTAAAGTCATGTAACACCACCATTTTAGAATCGGGACTACAAAAATGAATTGATTGCGTTATGGTAAAGAATATTTTAATTGTTCAACCTACCTGAGACCGTGCTCTTTTTCTATACCGACACGTACCAATGTCTCGATGCTAGATGATCCCGTAATTCGTCCCATGCCAACTAGACCCACTGTGGGCAGATCACGTTCGATGTTTGCATTGGTAGCTGTCAATAAAAGAGGTTCGTTTCTTGAGTCTTTCGTTTTCCCCAACTCCTGGACAGGGAAGATACCTTTCTTCTTATCGCGCCGCATGCGCACAGGACACAAAAATGCCATTTCCAAATTTACGCTTTGTCTTCGAGGTCTGGCTACTGTAATTAGCCACGAAAAACAATTGTCTGCTTATCCTGTATATTCGCTCTCCCTCTCTCTATCTCCTAGTGATGGTCAGCTACGCAGTCGATTTTCTGGCTGGCTGCCTATCGAACTATTTGTAAATCGGACATTTATTATTTAACTTTTCAAAGCAATTTCTTTGTTTATTCAACTTTTATTTTTCAAAGCAATTGATATGAAAATGACCTTTTTATTTGCAACGTGGCGTTGATGTGCATCGGTGCATGTAAGTAACGAATAAACATTTAAAAAACCAACAAACAAGGCCATAAATAGCTCGACGCGTAGTACATTGCACTCATAAATAAATTAATAAATTAAATAGCTCCAGTAATAATTGTCAAGCAACAACCTAGAGGAAATGGATTTAAATATGTGCATAATTCATTTAATGTTTCAAATGGAAATACTTTAATTTAATTAAATAAAATAATATTACCAAATGTATGTGGAATGTGGAATTTATCAATGAACTTTATCCATTTAAACCATGTTTCGTGGAACTTCTGAGTCGTATGATTTTTAAACACCTTATTTTTTGGCTCATTAAAATAGGCGAGTGGAAGATTGCGCCATTCTCCCAAAATATATTCTAGAGTACTCGGTCCTTTGAGTCTCCTTTAGACATTTTCTATTAAAGAGAGGACAATGTGTCGAGTGTAAACAATACAAGTAATTAATTTGAATTTAATTATTATTTAATTTAAATGAATTTATATGGATTCTATAGGGTTAGCAAACCAATTTTTATGCCACTTTAATCAAATAAATAAATTTAAGGTAAATTTTCCCTAGATAAAATAATGCTATAAGCGATTACATTAAATATTAACTAAAGTGGCTTCATCACTGCATACAATTTAAATTAAAGGAGTAATACAATTTTGTTTACAGTGGGCACTGTAATCAATAATTATGTAGGATTCATATATGTATATGAGTGTGGTTATAATAATAAAATATATTATTTGTATATATTAAACTATAGCAACTGGTCAGTTGACGCTTGCTTATTTATTAAGCCGCTCTTCCGATATTAAACAGCTCCTTTTCGCGCTTCAATTCAAATGCGTTTTCATTAGAGAGTGTTTCAAGGTTGCTTCATCCATATCGTACATGGATAGGAGATGCTCGTATTTCTGATAAGTTCGAGTATAATATAAGCAAATATATATAGTATGAGTGCGTAGTACGTACATATCATCATGCACGTCATGCTTCATCGTTGACGACGTCGCCAGAATCAACCAGAGTTTGTTGAAATGGCAATGCACCTTTTTGGTGCCAAGGATATACACGTATTCATAGCCTTCGTATGCAATTTTCGAATATAGCTAGAGAACATTACGACGGCAAAGAGTAATGTAGCGAGAGAAGTCGCACGAGAGAAGAGAGTGAAAGCCATAGAGGATTCACATCCAGCTGGCGAAAGTGCATACTATAACTAACAAACTGACCTACACACACAAATATTCTCATATACATATATATGTATAGTACATGTATATCTGTATGTACATACGTAAACTAATCTCCTGCTCACCCCGGAACATGTCTGTGTGCGACAAGTGCCCAAAAAACTGCGCATTAGATTCACTGAGCTATGTGGCAGCGATTCGACAGCAGCAGGTTACAGTGCCTCTCCCCACCCACCAGCTTCAACACATTGTTGACTTTTGCTTACTACGCAGTTGATTTCACATGCTGCGTGTAAACTCACTGACCTGACCAGCAGCAACAGCCCATTAACCCATACCCTACCTCAAGCAAACTGAGAGCGGCATCCCGTCGTATGTAAATCAATAAAAATGCGCCTGCGCGTTATCCTTCTAACGCTCACACAATTTTTGGCGCCATTCACGAAAACGAATGTGTTGTAAGGATAATCTTAAGAGCTGATGCTGGACTGGTGTAGCTGCTATATCCTGCCCGACTTCTAATTACCTAAACAAATTACCAGTAGGTCGATAGTACCAATGTCTAGAGATACATTTATTTTTGACACCATATTAAATCCCTCTAAAATAAAGCAATGCACATACGTAGTACTTATGGATACATATCCGCACTTGGTGTGTCCTTGACTGCTCAGTTCTTTGACATTGTAATACATGCAATAGCTATTAAGTAATCCCACATCGAGTGTTGTAATAAATGTATGACGTTCATTGTCTGCTTGATTATATAGCGAAATATCCACCTGTCATGAACACACATTCCCAGCACAAACTGGCACTTACAACCACCCGTAGGAATATATATATATATATACATATCAGGTCGTGTTGTGTGTTAGCTATAAATGATTTCGTACTGGATGGCTTGTGGCGAACTGAAATTAGAAACTTCAAGTTGCGTGAATGGCATTTCAATTTAGAAGACACAAACATATTAAAGTTTTTTTTGGCAGATATGTGTGCAGGTGCGAAAATAGATTTTTATTCGAAATGCATAACATATTGTCTAAATAAAAACATGAAAATTGGTAAGTCGCTAACTGTCTGTTTTTTTCAAGCGAGTTCGGCTCTCAGCTCTGAAGCTATTGCACTAAATTTAACATAGGCTTCTTGTTCCTGCAAGTAGATCAGGCGCATCGACCACTATATCCTATGTCTGGAATAGAATCAATTGAATATTATTCAATTACGAACATACTTATACAAATATGAACAATAAGCGGCTAAGTACAGGGTTATAATAGCTATTCCCTTCAGTAAAAGTGGAAGGATATATTTTTGTTGGTGTCTAAGCTTGTAACATCCAGATGGAGCAATGGTAGACGCCCTTGGAAATTTCTAAAGATTTTGGAATTAAATTGCTTAGTCAGAATATTGTAGTCTTATCTGATGACTTTACGAGTAGATAGCCAACTGTAGAAAGGTACAGAAAGCGTTCTAATAAATAATAACATAGTACCAAAACAGTAGGCTATATATTCGTCTGTATAATTCGCGACCCATGGCCATAGACCAATACACAGTTACTTGTGCTTCCTTTCTACAATCAATTAATTTTCTGCACTTTATTCTTGTGGCAGCTTCGCATCATTCAAAACTATTGGTCCTGTGCTTAGTTTCAATGCCGTTAAGTCTGAAAGGAGTTTCAAAATCTATTTCTATCATACTTATTTTATATAAGCAAAAACCTCAAAAATGCAGACATTATTTCATGTATTTTCGCTTATTTCCACTTAGCGATGAGTCGAAATGAATGTTTGATTAAATGTTGCATTACATTGCCTGATTATAGTTTTCGTAGCGTTGTGCCGGAATGCAAAACTCGTAAACAACATGCACAAATTTTGCTCATAAATAAGAAGAAAAGCCGAATACATATGGTATTGTATAAATAAATATAAACACATTATTTTGAACGAAAATACAAAATTTGGCAGATTTCCAAAAAATACAAATTTAGACACAAATTCAGATCTTTATGGATTCTTATTAATGCACATTATACATATACAGTTATGTGTGGCTGTTGACCAAGCAGAAAAATGAAAAAAAGCCAACTTGAGAAAACAAGACTATTTTCAATAAGCATAAGCAAGCATATATGTATACTTATACCGATGCCATTCGTCACAAAATTGCGACGTATAAAGACCTATTATGAGTGTTATAAAATCTAATGAATACTTACTGAAAATGATTAATTTTAAAATTAATATATTTATTACCCAAATTATGTCATTGTTGTTGATTTTTAAGAGAACCAAGCACTCATCTTTATTCGTGGCATTATTGTAAGTATCCAAGTATCCAAGGATTCTTTTTTTGAAAGGGTTTTTAAGGCATCCACAGCAGAGCTTAAAAACAAATCCCAAAAGTATGCTGTATTTGATTTTAGTTGTACTTGATTCTACAAGATTTGGTTAGCAATATTAATGTTCAAGTTCTCGTTAACTTATACATTTATACATACATCAATATTGTAAAGTTCATATACCGATTCGTAAACCATGTTGTTCATTGTAGTCAGACATTTATTTATAATAGATACTTTTTGGCGAACAATCAATGACACAGTGCTTTTGGGTCGCAAATATTCTAATTATTGCGAAATACTGTCAACATGATTAAAGACCTTGTGAAATTGCATAATCAGACAATAACCAGACTATAATTGATTTTGTGTGCAACACATTTAATTATTCTCCCGCTGGATCATATTTGGTTATGAGGAAAGGAAAGTGCCTTTTAATTTGCGCAAAGCCGCATTTCCGTGAAGGGGATGCAAGCGCCATGTAGGCGATTCGAGAAATACGCCCACACAAATCTTCAAGCGGAGGCTGCAAGACAATAGGAATGAGGGAAAAATCGCCTAAGGAATTCAAGGACATGCACACAATAGCAGCGCATTAAGGCATAAAATGTAACAAGCTGGGCGTCAGACCGAAATTACAGTCTCATGTGTGTATGCCCCCTAAAAGCAACGCGTACCACGCCCTCCCACACATATATATGTACATATAAACATCCATATATGTATGTATGTTAAACTAATAGAAGTGTCTGGGCGTCATGGTGCGTGTGTTTGCGTATATGTGACATGTAATTGCTGCGCACTTTCTGTCCAGCGTTGCGTATGTGTGATATTTAATTACGACAGCAGTGTGCAAGTGTCAGCTCATCAGCCTTTAAGCAATTCATTAAGTAGTAGGCCGCAACGCCTTATATTTCTAGGATGTATTGAAATTAAGTGTATATATTTCACGCTGCCTTGCACTGAGCTATTCAAGTTATGGCAACCATCATTATGTGGTGCTCTTTCAAATGCAGTCATGTCCTTGCTAGCGTTTATCTTAGTATCTTTTCAGACTTCAGAGCATAAAACGCTTGCTCTCTCTCTCTCTATTTCTCTCTTCCTCTCTTTGGCATCATCAGTGAAGCAAGCATGAACGAACATACAACTACGTTGCATTCATTCAATAAAAGATTGCTCTACCCTGTAGTAGTGAGTTAGCAAATCCCTCGCTCACTAGGGGTTGGCAAATAAAAATGCAATTTGTTCACAAAAGAACGATTGGTTTTCTGATTTAATAATTTTAAGGGCTAGAAAGAAGAATGAGTTTCTCTTCGAACAGAGAGGAAAAATGTAACATACAAATATAATAAATATATATGTAATATAAAATAAAATATTATAAAAATGCCGTGGGTTCGAGTGCCAGACAGTAGGGCTTAATAAAAGTTTGTAGAATTAAAAACAAAACATTAGGAATAAAACAAAACAAAGACAAAATGAATTACAATGGTTTATCAACTGGCGAAATAACAGACACGAGACTGACACTCGTTACTACAGGGTAGTGTCTCGTTCATACACACATGGACACTTACTCACACACATACACCCACACGACTGGGAACGCTAAGCTTGGCACGTGCGCGCTTTTGAGCTTCGCGCTCGTTGGGGCACTGGCACTAGAATTGGCGCTGTCTGCCAGTGGCCACTAGTGCTCGGGGCTCTTGCTCAGTCGAAGTTGGTTTCTCGTACGGGGTGGTTCGGTTCGCACTAAGTTTGGTCTGTCAGTTCCCGCGTGTGCGTGTTTACCAACGTTTCGTGAGAAGAAGAAAATCAAAATTAACTTTGGTAAATGCATTAAAATTCACCCACATAATACAAATAATACACATAATTATCCATATCATGTAATCATTAATAACACCGCAAAACTACACGCATTGTAAGCTATAATTTTTAAAGCTGTTTTTTGAGAATGTTAATTTAATTTGATTGCGAAATGGTTGCATTTGTATTTGCAACAACAGCAATAGTTACCAAATCTCCACTTGCAGACCTCCAAGTGCTGCCTGCTTTTTTTTTTAAGGGCGGGGAGGCAGTGGCAGGTCATTAAAGTGCATGCGTCATAGCACTTGTGCTTACATAAATTGCATCTCTGTTTGTATTTGAATTTGTATGCTCATGCACGTATCTGCACCTACATACATACTTACATACATATGTACAAACAATGTACTTATTCAAATGTTTTAGTTTTCAAATTTTCGTGTGCTCAAGCAAAAGCCAAGGGGAAAACTTACATGACGGTAAAGGTGCTTTTATTTTGCGTATGCCATTAGGACTTTTCTCAATTTTTTTCAAATACTACATGTTCCCGCTCTATGCAAAACATTTGTACATACATATGTATATCATATGTAAATATGTGAATGCACGCATAAGTACATAAATCAAACATAGTCGTACATGATAATTAGCTTTTATTATTATTTATTTATTCTTTAACCGAAGGATGAAAAGGCATTGTGAAATTGTAGATTGCTATTGTAATCAGCATGACTAGGCTTTTCCGTCTGTCTGTATGAACGGAAGAATCTCAAAAAGTAAAAAAGCAAGAGCTATTAAACTTGGGTTGCAGGCTCTCCTAAGTTGAAGAAAGTACATGTAAGACTCACTACTGTGACTAATATTACTATTTTGCGTATATAACGCACAGTATGAAAACTAAAATATAGCAAATAGAATATAAGACGTTTTTTAGAGCCACTTCTTTTAAATAATTTTTCCCCTTTTACGAAGCAAACCATAAAAGAAATTTATAGCTGGAAAAGCAATCTCTGCGTATGTATGTACGTAGAGCTATGTATATAATATTGTGTTCTATTTTTGGTTAATCAATTTTAAATTAACAATTACAAATTTGCTATAGATATTTAATTATTTTCTACACCGGGTACTGGGTATATGGGAGTAGTGCTTATGTGGCTCTAACATATGTCTCTGTTTTTAATTTAATGAGTCGGTTGAAATTGTGTTTCTAAAGAGATGCTTCAGAAAATATTTGCTTCAAAGCATAATTCTTTTACATATCATTATAAATGTATATCCTGTCATTAAAGAGTACATACATTAGAATATCGCAAATGCTGCTTGGCTTACCTGTATATACACATATGTATGTATGTATGTACATATATATTTTTAATCATCATGACTGGCTGAAGCATCTCAGTAAGAACGCAAGGATTTCGGAAAGTATAAAAGCTACAGTTAGCATGCTCCTCAAGTGAAGTTATATTTAGTAGTTCGGATTAGTTTTTTTAACAACTACATATAAAAGTAAGCATGAGTTCTCTTAATGTACATACACACGTATATACGTACATACATATATTCTAAGGCAAGTCGATCTGGACATGTCTGACCGGCTGTTTGTACTAAAGAGAGGATCTCGAAAAGTCGGAGAGTCTGGGTCACTATGTTTTGAATGCAGGCTCTCTTATGTCTGAGAAAAGGCACCCACCCCCTTACAAAAAAAGTAGAATACGCTCTTTCTCTCTCTCTCTCTCTCTCTCTCTCACTCTCTTTGAAATGAAAATTGGATATAAACAAAAATATACTTATTATAAATTAAGTAAATAATAAACAAATGACATATCCTATGGCTCAGGAAGGCTTTCTCATAAAATCTGGCAGACGAGCAGATATTAAAAAAAACAAATTGCAAATAAAAAGAGCGATGCAAAATATGTTATTAAATTTGCTTAGACAAAAGAGAATTGTATAGAATTTTGGTTTAAATATCAAAGAAAAATCTTAATCGAGGTGACCCGCCTGAATTAATATTACTCCAGCTATAATTGTAATCTTTCGTTTAGGTTAACATACCATACTATAATTCTCGATGTTTTCAATACATTCAAGACAGGATAAGCAATCCACAGAAGAAATAGCAATAGAATATAAACATGTATATGTGTATATACAAATATATATACACGTATGTATGTATGTATGTAAATATAAGTTCACAGTTGTTTTTCCCCTTTCGGATTTCGAATTGCGCATCAATTTAAATATAAATCTCGGACAACCTCTGCCAGCATGTAAAAGCAATTTTTCCCGAGCGGGAAAATTAACATCCGTGGCAGGTGGTGGGCGGCAGGCAATGGCGACAAGTAAGCCAATTACGGACGGACTGCAGAGGCTCTTGCATAACGTCTCTATTTCTTTTACATTACCCGTACGTCCCGTTAAGCTTCGGCTAATTGATAAATTCTAGAATGTTCGCAGAGTGTTCATTGAATGAGAACTTGACACATGTAATTGATTGCATTTAGCTGCACTCTTTGGCGTCCTACTGCCTTTTCAGCGTCTGCAGCTATAAGCCTACTTACTGTCCCACAACAGCAGTCGCAAATTGCATCCAATTGGGCTTAATTGACCGCGACAAATGGTGCAAAAGAATTGTTTGCATTGTGCAATCATAGAGCGCTGATTTCAAATTGGCTGGAGGCTGTGATTTTTCGCAGTCTGTCAGCTTGCTATGCACGTGTTGAATTATGTAAGTAAAAGCCTTAACATACGGATACTGAATACTGAATACAAGATCTAATCTAGTATCGTGCTCATTTAGTCAAAACTTCGTCCGTTATATCATGACGAAAATTAACTTGATGGCAGATAAGCACTACCAGGATGTAACTGTCGAATTTGAGTGAACAATTTTATTAGAATGAATAAACTTGACCAGCTTGTCCTGCAAAGCTTAGTAGATAGTAGAAAGATAGTATGTAGATACCAAGTTTAATTATTCTAGCTCTTGTACTTGCTGAGATCTTTGCGCTCATATAGACGGACGGACGGATAGAACGACGTGGCTTCACTCGTCTTGTTGTACTGATCAATAATATTTATTTATGTATATACTTTTTTGGGTCTGCCACTAAACTAGTATACCATTTTACGCTTTGGGTACAGGATATTTAAAGTCTTAAAGTCTTTGAAAATGAATATACAACACCAAATTATATATTGGAAAATATCCAACTGTTTAATTGCAGAAATATCACTATTAGTAACTTTACAAGTTTAGGCCAAGCCTTGATAAACAAATTAAAATAATCGTGTAAACAGTTCGGTAAGACTGTTCAAAATATTCTGCAAAGGTGTACTTTATATCTAATTTGAAAAAGTGTCGAGTATGTATACGTTTATATTTTGGTTTTTTTGTCATACGCTTATTCAATACATACATATGTATAGTACATAAAATATGTATGTACATAATTGTATATATAAACAATTATTTATTTAGTTCACCCTTCTTTTTATTTTTTGCAGAAGTGGACAAATATTTGGATAATATTAAAATGGATCTATTTATCAAGGAAACAATAATGAACATGAACATACAATTTAAAAATTAAGGAGAGCACAAATGGGTAATATAAATAAAATTTAAAGTCAACGCCGAGAGTGCACAGCAATCTACAGTTTAAAAACTCACACATTCGTAAATACATATGTATGCACAACTTAAAAATTAAGTCTCTCAGCTCCAACATCATCATCACCATCGCTTTTATTCATCATCATTTTAGTGGATGAGCATAGCAGCTAGCTGAAAAAAGAGAGTAGATATAGCAAGAGAGCAAGAGCGCGCACATTGTTTTTGCTACACGCCCATAAAAACGGTCGAATCGATGGAAATATATACCCGCAGTAGTCAACGTTACAGAAACAACTAATGAATTAGCTAAATAAACAAATTAATTAAATAAGTAACAGCTACAACGAATAACGGACTATAACAAAGGCAAAAGGCGAGGAAAACTGACACGCAACGGGCATTAACAAGCAAAAGCAAAGAGCGCGCCAGCCCCAACTTGGGGCAACAACGAAAGAAAGAGCAAGCGCAAGAAAAAAAAGAGAGCAAGAGAGAAGACAACGAACGTAAACGTGAGCAAATACACATAAAATGTAAACTCGTTGTCAAAAAATATAAAACAAGCAGACGCACACAAAAATTTCGTCTCGTGCTTGGGCACTGCCTTCCAGATAGAAATTGCGTCTCTCGCGTGACAACGTGCGTCCAAACGAGCGGAAAGTTTCTGCTGCAGATTTTATGCCGCAAAGTCAGTCGGTCAGTGAAAAGTAAACTCATTGAAGTTGAAAACAGAAATACAAATCAAAGCGTGTGTCTCTTGTGCCAAAAATAGTAAAAATAAATAGAAAAGTAAATATAATAATCATCATAGACAGAGTGCGTACGTAATAGCAATATCATACGAACACATACGCTGTACACTCATACAAACGTCTGTGCACACATACATACACGTATGTACATACATACTTGTGTAAAAATATCGATTTTTTGAGCTACCCGCTGTGTAAAACATTTCAAAATTCGCGTCGACGACCTCGACACAGCCACATCCACAACCACAAACGCGACGCGGTGCTAGTGTGCAAAAATATTTATAATTTTGCAAGCCGCACTTAAAAACTAAATAAAACAAAACAAGCACAAAGAGCGCGCAAACGTGTCTAATTAGATTGAGCGACGTTAGTGTTTTACATAATTGAAGCAGTTCAAGACGTATAGAAAAAGAGCAAGAGGAAAACAATTTGCTGTTCCTGTCGTGGGCAAAGGTAAAGTTACGAGTTCAGTGCCAAGAGGAGGAAGGAGAGGAGACAACGGCAGCAGCAGTTGCCTAAAAGTGCATATGCTTAGATATCGGCTGGTTTCGACACATTTTCTGAAGCAACCGTAGTCGGCCCACCCGACGAGAGCAGGCCACAGCGAGTGCACAACTGCAAAAGCAATAGTAAAGGTAATAGAAACGGCAACAGCAACAGTGAGAGCGTCGAGCCAAGGCCCAAACTGTAAGTGACGTCACTGTTAACGAATGCGTTGGCGTTAATTGTCGCATTACCGATCGTCAAAGGATAAACATACAAGTCGCACTACTCTGACTCTGTGTCGCATTAAAAGCGTTTCAGGTACGGCGACCGGCTCATTTACGCCCCAATCGTCGCAGTGACAACAGTTGGCAGTGTGCGGTGTAGCTGCCTGAATTTTGTGGCCTGCAAGGGCTAATCCCCCATTGGCCACTTTACGTACGTACGTACATACCGAGTACATAGGAAGTTGAGAAGCGGTATTAATTTAAAACGCTAGACGCTTGAGACTCAACCGGACCGCAGCATTTGCAGCAGGCGGCATCAATTCGCATCACACGGGCATTATAATTCAGTCACAACGTATTCGCTAAGAGTATTCCGCCTACTCGGTTTGAGCTGTTATAATTTAGATAGCGAAAATGTGCAGAGATCGCGATATGAGTTTGTCATAGATCAGCGCAATCGTCAATACAAGGTCAAGAAAAAAATCAAGCTGAAGTAAGTGGACAGCGCTTGGCTTGGCTTGGCATCGACTAGACGAAACAGCGACGTGCGTGCAACAAACGCAACAGCGACAAACGACATCAGAATAAAACCAAAGTTAACAAAATAAAAGCCTAAAAGCCAACAAGGATAATTACTAATAATAATTGATTCTTATTTGTGCGCGTGTTTTGGGCACAACCGGAAATGTGACTATTGCAACGGGATCTGGTGTCGTCCCTCCTCAATTATCGGGCCTAACCGATACGTAAACGCGTTTCTTTTGCCATAAATAAGCGTGCGTGTGATTTCGGGTGTTTGTATGTTTTTTTTTTGTTAATATAACTAAATATACATATATGCAAGTATATCCTTGTGAGCGTATTAGTTCATCGTTTCTGAAGTAGAGAAATAGCTTAAATAATATTCGTTCGTGTTTTCCTTCAAACGTCGTGCAACTGGCGAACGTACGTGGAAAAAGCAGCAAGATTGAAGACTTTGGGAGAAATCTTTGGAAGTCCGTTAAGGCTTGCATTGTAAGTAATTGTAAATATATATTTTTACCATAGTTATAGTCAACGTAGAGCTTAGTAGCTTAGTTTAAGAATATTTATCCCAAGTGGCAGCTCAGGAATAAATTTCTAATATTAAAAATGGATATCATAGTTAGTTGTTAGAAACATTTCTTGAGGGATGGGATCTATATATTTATATATTTAGGTGGCTTAAATGATCTTCAGCTTATTTAATCTTTGTCTTTTTCTTTTGTTTTTTGGAAAACTGTTTAATGGACCTATCGCTCTTGATTTGGTTTTTTTTGCTGATCCCAAAAAAGCTGTACAGTACTAACTTTTGAATGAAGAAGAAGGTATTAGTTGATTTGCGTTGAAAGATTTCGATGCTCATGATGATTGCTAAGTATGTGATTTACAAGTTCAAATACTTAAGTAGCACCCCTCGGTTCCTTTTGTTATTTTTCGCTTGTTAGCTTTTGACTCTCAATTCGACGCCTAATTGGTGTTGTTTATGTATATTTATCAATTTTATGCGAATTATTGGCTATATGAGAAAGAAATTGACACCTCTGGGCCTGAACAAGCTTTAGCTTTTGTAAACTCGTACATACATATTATTTTCTGAAAGCTGAGCGCGTGTTTGTTGCATATTTTCAGATGCCAGGTAAGAAATTTGAAGTAAGTTGTAGACGACAGTCGGCGCTTTTCACGAGAATATAATGCTTACAAGTGTTTTTCTAGCAGCAGTATATTTTCAGTACCACATACTCGTACATACTTGTATATATTATATATTGCATATACAATTCAATATAGATACGGGTATATTTTTTTATACTCTGTACATGAAATGTACAAGAGTATATTAGGTTTGCGGGAGCTCAAAAATGTAACAGGCAGAAGGAGGCGTGGCAGACCCCACAAAGTATATATATTCTTGACCAGCATGACCAGACGAGTCGATCTAGCCCTGTCTGTCCGTATGAACACCTGGATCTCAGAGACTATAAGAGCTACAGACACCAAATTTTGCACAAAGATGCCTTATGTGTGTACGCTTTTGTACGATTTTGTTTTATTTTTTTATTTTCCCCCACTTCCCCCCTATGGGGGTTTTCCCGATTTTCCATTCGTATAATCGCCTATATCTCGGAGACTATAAGACCTAGGAACACCAAATTTTAGTCCAAGATGCCTTATGTGAATACGCAGGAAATTCCAAAATAAATTTCCCTCCCTTCCCCCTCTCCCCCGCAAATCGTAATTCCCGTAATTCTAGGAATTTCGAACTCAAATTTGGGAAATTCCCCCAGTCGGTTATTATGTGTCCGAATGCCAAGTTTCACTACGATAGACCGATTTAACAAGGAGTTATAGCCATAAATATATTTGCTGCTGAGTTCAAATACCGAGAAAGGTAAAATCGATCAACAATTTTTTTTTTTAATTTTCTTAATTTTTTAATTTTCTATAATTATTGTAAACATATGTACAGAGTATTTCAAAGACGGGACACCCGACTTTAGCTTTTTTACTTGTTTTATTTAAGGCTGCTAATAACGCCAAATGGCAAAACGTGATTGATGAGAAATTAGAGCGCTCGTCAGCTAGTAATATAAATTGATGATAATTTTTACTTTTTATCAAACGGACAGTAAGTTGTCTATATGTATTTATGCGTGCATGTACATTTTTCTACGATAAACAAAAACTTATCTGGCCGACGTTGAACATTTGCTTCTGATTTTTTTTGCCATTAAATTCCGCATATAGTATACTTATTACTTTCTGCGAATGCTCATTGTTTATTGTATATTTGTTTTGCGGACGCTGAATTGAGTCATAGCATAAATAATGTATGTGTAGTGTAAGACTCAACAGTGAGGCTTGCTGTTGGGAAACGAAATATGACACACTTGGAATGAATATTGGAGAGTATTTCAAAAAATGTGTGTGTAAAGGTATATATTATATAATGTTTGTTTTAATATTTGAAACACATTTAATTAAAACAAACCAATAAAAATACAATACAAATGGGCTTGCATGACTCTGGCATTTGATTCCTGCTTCAATATCATTTAATATGGCAATTCAACTAATTTGTCAGTGAATTGATATACAAATCAAATCGTTATAATCGTTATAATCGTTATATATATAAAATATATAAAAAAAAGTTATTTTTATTATATTTTTATTTTTTTACATACACACATAACAGCGTCCATAAAGAATAGAATGTAAGACTATGGGGCTCTTCCTTCTGAGGCTTACAAACATACTCACCATAAATGTCCTTCCGAACAGCACACATGACTTAAAATCTCAATTTTTGTTAAGTCATTAAAAAACCAGCATAGGGCATATATATATGTACATACTTGTATATACTCGCAACTTTAAGCTTTAGGTAGAAGTAGGTTATTAATATAGGCTGTTGTATTTGACCTTAATTATAAAACCAACCAAACGACTGTCCCTGTGGAGCCTTTTCCAGTCAGTCTACATTTGTCTTTTTCTGTTTCGACGCTAATTTCCCAAAGGACTGCCGATGTCCACTATTACTTTTTTGGGCTTATATTTCGTCACACCTTGTAATAAATTGATATGTACCCTTGGATATAATCTTGTAGCTTACATATTTTTGTCGTCATAGCTAAGCAACAACTGTTGATACTGGAAGAACTGGAACGGAAATCGGTGTGTGCTTTTAGGCTTCCTGAGCGATGACACGCGACGGAAAATTTTAATTTCAAATTGTCATGCCATTTTTCATGACGTGTGAACGTCATACTTTTGGTTGTTTATCGAAACAATTTGCAATCTCAGCGCTAATATGCGTTATTTGTTGTCAACCTGAGTATTCGCATACCCAGTTGTACTATAAGGAAAATAAAGCGCAATGGAAAACTTAAATCTGATAATTGTTGCCTTACAATTTGTCATTGCTAATGTTATTATCAATATCCCTGTACCATTTTGTTTAACACTTTCACACAATCGGCTTTTATTCTGGCCGCTACTGTACCCCAATATGTGCTAAGTTTTTCAATTTTAGGCGTGTGTGAGACCGTGGTCGTATTTTTCCCCACTGTTTGATTCAATTAACAAGTGCACAGACTGTTAGGCAAACGAATTCGCGCGAATTCAAAAATAAAAAAGTGTAAACTGGTTATTTATAGACGTTCGAGCGACCAATTGGTAAAAATAAATTTCTCTATATATTTTTAGCTTGTTATTTGCCAAAATGCAAATAAACAAAAGGTTACATTTTCGCAAATGCGAGTACACTAATGCACATTACAAGTATACATAATTACATACATACATATATATCTAAGTACCACTCGGAAAACATCTGAATGACCTCAACATTTAATGAAGAGTTGCATCCAATCTTTATAAGTAATGCACGGTGACTACACTTTTCAAAAGTCTGCATCATACATAGATAGTATGTTTATTTGTAAAAGATTTAGGCAGAATATTTAAAGCTTCACCCGCTATTCCATTCGCAAACTAGCTATGACTATATAGAAAAAGAAAAAGTTAATACTTAGGTAGTACATATTTATTTTGGTTCCACTTACTATGCCTTTGGAAGCGAGTATAAAACAGAATGCTCTTCACTTTTCTACAAAATATATATTCATTTATGTATGTATGTACTTACATATGTATATACATTTGCGATTATAATGGATAACAAAATTTGAAGTACATATTACCGCAATAATATTGATAAAGTTCCAAAAGCTTATCTTACTTACTGTCAGTATTTTCCAAAGTTCGGGCTACCATTTTAGCATGGTTATTACTAATTTCCTATTTTTAACGTTTATATCGTTTTAAGAACTGTTAATACTAAATTGATTCTATTAAAAGCAACAGGCAAGCTTGGCCATGGAACTCGTGCAGTCTCTTTTTTCTATATTAATTAATTTGGATCAGTTGGTCACGAGTGCTTCTAGACAAAAAGCTGTTCACGAACATGGGTATAGTCACAATGGGGGCACTTGGGCACTACTTAACTAACAGATTAAATGTGCTATTAAGTTTGTTTTGTACTTAAGAATTTTTATTTTTCGGCAATATTGAATCGTTGCAATATCCATAATAAACGTATGCATAATTTATCAGAAATTTCCCAACCTAATTTCTCAAGATTTTTATTTAATTTGTCAGATATTTCACAATTTACTTCTCGTTTGCCATCACTCAAGTACTTAGTATGAGAATCGCAGAGGAGGGCTGCCAAAATATTTTTTCATTTCATTTGATTTATCAGAAATTTCACAATTTATTTTTATTTAATTTAATTTATCAGAAATTTTACACTTTAAATCTCGAATTGCCATCACTTAGGTACTTGGTATGAGAATCGCAGAGGACGGCGGCCACAATATTTTTTTAATTAATTTAATTTAATTTATCAGAAATTTCACAACTTAAATCTCGAATTGCCATCACTTAGATACTTGGTATGAGAATCGCAGAGGAGGCCCGCCACAATATTTTTTCATTTAATTTAATTTATCAGAAATTTTACAATTTATTTTTATTCAATTTAATTTATCAGAAATTGCACAACTTTAATCTCGATTTGCTTTCACTTAAGTAATATGAGAATCGCAGAGGAGGGCGGCCACAATATTTTTTTATTTAATTTAATTTATCAGAAGTTTCAAAATGTATTTCCACAATATTATTCTTTAATTTATCAGAAAAACCACAATTTAATTCTCGTTTGCCATACTTGGTATGAGAATGGCAGAGGAGGGCGGCCACAATATTTGTATTTAAAGTACATACATAGTATGTGTAAATATATACATATTTAGGGAGCAGAATCAGGGCGCGAAAGCCGATCAACAACAAAAAGCTTTGGTTTGTAGTTAAGAAATCCTGGGGTCATTCCCCAAAGAAATTTGCGAGAGCCTGGCAGATTCAATGCCGAAGCGGTGCGCAAAATATTAAAATTGCCACAAAATAATAAAATTGATAAATATTTCATATAA